AAAAAAAAAAAAAAGAATGCTTAACATGAGATCTGCTCTCTTGATAAATTAAGTGTATGAGTTAGCCTTCTTAACGGTAGGTAGTGTGTTGTAGAGCTGGTCTCCAGAAGTTACTCATCGTGCCTGACTGAAACTTTACCCCCGTTGAACATCTCCCCATTTCTCCCTCCCCCAGCCCCCGGCAGCCTCCGTTCTCCTTTCTGTCTAAGGGTTTGGCTACTTTAGATGCCCCCATGTAAGTGGACTCATGCAGTGCTTTCATTGTTGTTGTTTTAAGCTTAGCTGAGTTATTAGTGAAAGAGGGCTGAATAAGGAAAGAACAGCTTGAACCTAGGAGCTCCGACCTCCAGCACCAAGTTGGATTGTTGGTGTGTGGGCGACAGTGTCTGTCTTGGCTACGTGGGTGCTTTCTACGTGAACGGTCCTGCTGTGACCTGGGATGGAGGAAGGGGCAGGGGCTTGCTGTGTGCTTTCATTGCCTGTCTAGAAACATAAATATACAAAAGGTGTCCAGCAAAATCTAGAAATCTCAAAACAGAAATGGTTGGGGCAATGAATACCCTCCGGAGAACTTCAGCTGAAGACAGTTGGCCTTTGCAGCAGGGGCCCTGCCCTTACTGTGGTGGAGCAATCAAGGACTCCCCTGGGCTGCATCCCAGACTTGAGTCACAGGACCCGGGGTTCTCAACTAGCATTCCACAGACCTCACTCCGCCCGACCCTTCCCTGGCATCCTCATCTGTTACCTGAAGGCAGTTGGCCTGGGGGGTCTCCATGGTCCCCTCGGCTCTGATCTCTTCAGTGCTTTCAAAGCCGTAGGGCATGGCTATGAAGAAGAGCAGCAGCCAAGAGGATGGCAGCCGAGATGGCCTCTGCAAGTAGCAGAGTCTTGGCTACCATCTTTGTGGCACAGGGTTCCCTGTGAGTAGCCTCAGTCGAGCAGTCAGACTCTTGCCACTGGCGCCCCCCCTGCCCTACCCACCTGCCCACCCCCATGGCTCTGAGAAGAAGCAGGGTGCCCAGAAGGGTTCCCTGAGCAGGACTCAGTTGGAGAGTAGATGGTATTTTCAGGAAATCTGATAAAGTAAGCTGGACTGATAATTCAAAGGCCAGGTCAATCTGTTCTTTGCTTGGGCCCAGCTGGGTAAAAACCAAACACAAACCCAGTGCGGGGAGAGAGCCGTGTTAGAAAAGAGCAGAGGCCAAGAGTTTTACTTTCCAAGTTACTTGTAAAGCAAAAGTACAAGTTTACTTGTAAAGTCAAACTCTTTCCTGAGGACTTACCAGCCCTGCACCTCAGTGAAGGAAGGGCATTGTGACTCTCGGATGACATGGGCTGGAATCGGAGGGGGCACGTGGAAGCTTCTGGCCCCCACTGGATGCCACTCACACCTTCATTTACATTTCCCCACCAATCCGAAGCCCAGCTAGATGACGCCCTATCCCATTCAGCCAAAAAGGCAGTTAAAAATCCAAGATAGTGTATAACACTCCAGTTTATCTGGTATCGCCAGTTTGTCAGTGTTGTGCTCTGATGAGCAAAGGTTGTGTTAATAAAGCACTTGTAGAAACGAGCCTTTGTCCGTCCGTGACACCAGACAGGGAAGAGAGTCCGCATGAGTGGTTGAAGGAGGTGAGCGTCCCCAGATGCTCTTCGTTGGTCACAAAGCTGAACCGTAACCGGCCGGGGGGGGCGCACCTACCCCCAGAGCGGCGGGCCTGTCTCGGGAGGATGGGGGTCTGACTGCATGCGGGGGTTCTGCCCGTGGGCGTGCAGCTGTCAGAATTTGTCCGGATGCCTGTGTCTCATGTCCACCATGTTGTACCTTGCAGATACTGGGTTACTTTGACTATGCTTTCACAGCCATCTTTACTGTTGAAATCCTGTTAAAGGTAATGGCTTTTTCATTGATCCTCACCTACTCCAAAGCAGCTGTAGCAATAATAGTTGCAATTCTTTGTTTACCTTCCAGATGCTAGGTTATGCAGATTATGTCTTCACTGGCACTTTTGCCTTTGAGATCGTTTTGAAGGTAACAGGTTCCACGGCCGTGTGTCTAAGGGGCCTGCTCCTGGGGGACACGTGGCAAAGAAGCGTGAAGTGCTTTTGACTATTTTTATTTTTTGTCTTCTGTGATCAAGCTACACTTTTTTTTTTTTTAAACCAAAGGACCTTTTTTTTTTTCCTGTAACCATTCAACTTGTTTTTGCTGTTTCTTTTTAACCTTTCAATGCATGTAGGAGCTACTTTGGCTTCATCATAATGACTGGAAATTATTTTGCTCCTTCCTAAATATATCCTCTGAAATTTGTCATCTGATAACAGATACATCACTCTGCGTGAACCTTCTTCCACCTTTCCTGACTTCAAAGTCAGAGGAGAAGCATTTATCCTATGAAGGGAATGTATCTCCTTTCATTTCTTTGACTGAATTGTTTTCAGTGGCCTGAAATAGTAACACACTATTTTCTTGCAATGGGATTTGCAAGATAACCCGGGTCTTTTTGTGTTAAGATATTTTATATCTGTTTTAATGGATGGGCTTACATTTATGCAAACAAAAGGAACACCCTTTGGACGGGGCGCCCTAAATGTACCGCCCATGCATGAGCTCACACTTGCCATTGCTGCATGTGGTTTGTGGACTGAGTGTGATGGCCCCTGGGGCGAGCTCATTCCCTATGCACTCAGAAGTTTGGAGACCTGCAGCAGACAGCTGAGGACACCGCCCCCCTCCACTTGCTAAGTGTCATGGGTCATTGCCGTGCCGGGATAGCGTGACCCGTGACAAATGTCAGAGCAATCATCTCCTCGTGGGGAGACAAGCTGTGAGATTTTCACCACAATTGTCTTTAAACCAACCATTTTGAGTTTTTATGTGTGCATCTCAGGGGGAAAAAGTGTATTTTATGTTAGACTCCTGTGGAACTTGGGCTCTTTACAAAATCTTTTATAAAATAAAACCTCGCTGAACTTTGCCAGGGAATGGGGTACTTAGAGTTACTTTCTTTTTTTGTTGTTGTTGTTTAATGAAAACATCAGTGCAAAACCAACCAACCTCCACTTAAAACTTTGTTAAAAATCTAAAAATTCACATTCACTTTCCTGCCTTTAAACCATCGACTGGCTGACAGTTCTCAGTGAGAACCCTGCCAGGTTAGTGATTCTAGCAACGTCACCACGGTGAGGAGCACAGACACATAACGCACAGGGCTTGGGGGTCAAGGACACTCACCCCACCTCTACTTGATCCCGAGCTGCCCTTTTTTTGTAATTTGCCTTCTCCTCAAACTGAATGGGGGACACGCTCCACTTAGTCTGTTAACCTGGTTCATCGAGGTTTTATTTTACTTCCCACATTTTTTAGTGGTTAAATGAATGTAGTTATTCTTGGACTTTGGGGCAAATGAGATACAGAATTATTTAGAAGAAATTAAAAACAACTACTGCTTTTAAATTTCTGGATATTTACCTCAGTGACTTAAATCTTCCAAGTTATTCTTCATTCTAAAGAACGTGTTAGAGGGTGGAAAACAAGCTTAAAACCAGAAGGATTCAGCAAACACAGACTCACCAAGAAGCATCTAGCATTGGAAGCGGCGGTTCCTGCTGGCCATGGGAAGGCTGGGGAGGCTCTATGATGATTCAGTTGAATTGTACGGAATTGCTTTTTTTTTTTTTTTTTTTTTTTTGGTCAAGAACGGCAGTGTGTTGGCGATTTCATATGGTTCGGTGTAACAGTTTCCCGACTCCGGCCCTCTGTCCTGGACTCACCTGAGCCTTCTGCACTTTTGTTTTTTTAAATTCACGGTGAACTTGATATACTTCGCTGTTTTTACTCTGGGAATTTCCTCACTAAAGTCCTTTTGCATTGCCGGTAGGCACCTCTCTGGAGCACCCATGGTGCGGGCTCTGGGTGCATGTGGCATGGGACTCCAGGGCAGGGAGACTGCCCAGGGGAGAGGCCTGTGCTGGCTTCCTGGCCACCCCTTGCACAGGCTGGATTCACTGGACCTGGAGGCGCCGTTTAAACTGGGTGTCTCTCTGAGGACCATCGGCAGCAGACAGGGCGCTACCTGGTCTCTCTGAACAGAGCCTGGGAGCACTGGGCTTCAGTGCTTTCACTAGTCCCACTGGGAAGGCCCACTGGGGAGACAGAGGCTCTCCTGGGCTCCTGGGGACCAGAGCCAGCGTGTTGTGGGCAGCCGAGTTATCTGGGCAGTGATGATATCCTGATGAGTGGGCCCATGTGGACCCTTCTGGGACAGGCTCTTTGGACCTGCCCACGCTGGATTCCTACACGCAGTTTGTCATCGCTGGTACGGAGTCTAGACTGGTCTCTTCTTCTAAAATGTATCTGAAATCAGCTGCCCCTTTTCCATTTTTGAACGAATATTCGGCTCAGCCCTGTTGGTATCCATTTCTGGCTTCCTAATGCATGCTTGTTAGTAAAGTCATACTTGCCTCAAGGTTTTGTACAGAGCCCAGGTTTCTTTTCTTCTGAGAGAAAAAAATATCCGTAAATCACTCATGATTCTGTTTATAGATGGCGACTTTTGGAGCTTTCCTCCACAAAGGGGCTTTCTGCAGGAACTACTTCAATCTGCTGGATATGCTGGTTGTCGGGGTGTCCCTGGTATCATTTGGGATCCAGTAAGTATTCTGGGGTGGGTGTGGGCGTGTGCTCACAAGACTGTTGGGCAGGATGGTTAATGTGAGGAATTTTAACATAATTCATAAAGGCTAGGCATCATTTTGACAATTACATTTAATTATCCGGGAAACCTTGATTTGTGCACATGCCGGAAAGCATTGGAAGGCAGCTATGCTCACCACGATACCACCAACGCGCCGGAAAGCATTGGGACAGTTCACACTTTCTCCTGTTTCTCCTCTCCATGCCTCCTGCCAGATTGGGCTTATTACTCTCTGTGATACTGACTCTCAACAGAGAAGGCTTGACTGGGAGAGAAGGAAGCCAGGTTCTAGTTCGGGTTCGTCCAGGATCTCAATCCTCATTCAGGGTTGGTGGCGGGGGTTGGGCTCCGGGGACCCTTTCAGCTTGGCTATTGAAGGCTACTTCCCTCGATCTCCAGGATATCTCAGCTGCCATGACCTCTTCCTCCCGGCTTCTACAATTTTCAGCTAGGAGGCGGTGGAGGCCATAAGTTAGGGCCCCAGGGATGCCCCAGCGGCACGGTGCCTGCTGGCTCTACCCGGGGGCCCGGGGCAGAGGCTCCAGTGGGAGCATCCCGCAGTGGCCTTGCTTCCCAGCTGACTTACAAGCACGTGCGCTCAGGTGCTGGCCATCAGTACCCCATATGAGAACACGTGCTCACCTACGACCTCTGAGCTCAAGTTCCATGGACAGGCTGCCTCCCCCTCAGAAGACCAAGGACCCCTGCCTGAGACAGCCCTCTGTGTTAGTCCTTACCTGCCACCACTGCCCGGAGGGAGGGAGCCAGGAGTTACAGCTGGAGGGGACATTCTCAGAGCATCTTTGCAGCTCCCATAAATTCCCGGCTGCGCTGGCCCTCTCCCCCTGCAGCCCTTGCCTGTGTGCTGGCCCACCTATGGGGCCGGTAAGCTGCATTCTCCTTCCTAGTGCTGCTCCCTCTGCCCGGAACCCCTTCCCCCTTAGGCTAGCTAACCTGCCCCTCCCCCCGGGACTCACCAGGCTGCCACCTCCCAGGCTCCCCTGGGATGTGCTCGCCTGGCAGCCTGTCGTCCTGCACCCCCTCCATTGTCCGTTCCCCCACACAGGTGGTGATTGCGTCTCTCCCACCCAACAGCAAACTCCTCCGAGGCTGGAGAAGCCCCACTCAGAGCAGGTCTCCCCGCTTAGAAAGCAAACCCCACCCCAAACAAAATCGCAGCCTAAAAGCCAAGTACTACCTAGCGTTTACATCGAGTGAAAAGAACAAAGCGAATTCCTAACTCATGCCTCTGCTGCATTAACTGGGTACCCAAGTCAGGGCCTCTGTGAGTGCCCGTGGGCCTGGCCCGGGAAGGGCTCTGGAGTGTGCACAGGACGGGGAAAGACCCGACGTGTGTGTGTGTGTGTGTGTGTGTGTGTGTGTGTGTCTCTCTCTCTCTCTCTCTCTCTCTCTCTCTCACGGCAGGAGGTGAGCTCAGCTCCACACAGGCAGTGGTCCTGCAGTGAAGACCGCCTGAAATAATTTCAGAGTATTTTATTTGACTGTAATACACTCTGCCTTCGTTCTGTGCTCTTTCCTTAGATCCAGTGCCATCTCCGTTGTGAAGATTCTGAGGGTCTTAAGGGTCCTGCGGCCGCTCAGGGCGATCAACAGAGCGAAAGGACTTAAGGTTTGGGTTTCTGCCCTCCGGTCCAGGCTACTTTGGTTGGGGGCCAGAGCTGGGCTGAGGCTTGATGGGTTTTACATTGTTATATGTTTGGAAAGGACATTTCTAACCAGCAACACTGCCTCTGGCAAGTGCTGAAAGCATTTTACAAATGATTTTCTTTATCTTTGTTAATTTATTTTTCTTAACGTGATTACTGTTTATCACTTCTAAAAATTATTAATATTTTCTTGGGTTTATTTTGGTCTTTAAATCTCTTCTCATACAGGTCATATAAAAGGTCTGAGGTTTTGCATTTTCCTGAGTCCGTTTATGGGGGGCCAGGGTCCGTGTGGGCCAGGTAGTGCTGCACCCCCTAGCGTTTCTTTGGACTAAGCCGCTTATGAAGAGACCAGGGAGGGGCTGGTCCACAGGGGTGCTTCTCCCGGGTGACCATGATGCACCAGGGGCAGCTCCCCATAGATAACTACCTGAAAAACAAGTGCAAGGGAATGCAAATTTGGAAAATCATATAAAAATGCACATAAACATGAGAAAATCTTGGCCAGTGTTAGGTCACCCAGAGGCTGAAACCACAGAGGCCGGTAAACCTCCTCTGCCTTCCCCTGGCTCCTCTCTCCCCAGCACGTGGTCCAGTGTGTCTTCGTGGCCATCCGGACCATTGGCAACATCATGATCGTCACCACCCTTCTCCAGTTCATGTTCGCCTGCATCGGGGTCCAGTTGTTCAAGGTACAGGGAACGTGCCTTCTGGCATGAAGCCCAGCCGATCGCTTTGCAGGGAGCCTGCATTTGACTGCCTGTCTGTTTTATATGTAGGGAAAGTTCTATCGCTGTACAGATGAAGCCAAAAGTAACCCCGAAGAGTGCAGGTGAGTGTCCTGAACGTGAGAGTGGGGAATGAGGAAGAACAGATAGAAAAATTTCAAGGATCTGTTTGTGCTAACATTTTAGAAGTTTTCATCATGGACTGCAAGAAGCTTGTGTGCTCAGCTCATGGTTGGAGAGATAGAGGGAGATGATGGTGGTTTTATTTGAAGTGACATTCACATATCATAATAGTAATCATTTTAAACTGTGCAATTCAGTGGCATTTAGTACAATCACATTGTGGTACAAGCATGGCCTTGGTCTAGTTCCAAACCTTCGTCGCCCCCAAAAGAATGGATAGATGGCTTTTGATGTTTGCCATAGAGTCTCTAAATGGGGAGAGGGAGTGCACTAAAACCTAAAATAACAATTATGAACTGCCCCAGAGAGCCCTTCCCTCCAGCCACGTGGATAATTCTTCCCCACACCAGAACCCTGAAGCTCAACTCCCTGGCATTCAGGAGCTGGCTAGCCCCTTCCGACAGGTTCTCCAGGCTACCTTTCTCCCCCTGCTCCTGGCAGCCACATTTTGGGCATATTTTTCTTCACAAGAACGGACAGGGGAGAGACAAGGTGGGAAACACCTGTGTCTCTTATCCCAAGCTGTCCAGAACATGAAGGCAGGCACAAAACCACTGCCCAGAGTTGGAAGACCGTGTGGTAGTCCGTGTTTCCCCATCCTTTGGGGATGGCACCACTGAGGTCGGGCTGCTTGCACTGCTCGTGTGTGTTTGGGCTTTCTCTCCACCAGAAGGTGCAGTCAGAGCGTGCTGGCTGTGCGGTGACTGGTTGTGCACCTCCAGGGCCTCCATCCGTGCAGGTTGGGGGGAGCGAGGTGCGCCCCCTGCTGTTGAGCGGCATGGCAGCAGGCAGAAGACCCCTTCTCTTCTCTCACTAAGCCTCTGCTTCCCTGTGACATAAAGACATCGGCCCCTTTCCAGAAATGAAATTCAATGACAAATTCTGTGTACCAGAAATTACAGAATTATTTTAGAAAGAAAACTGGGAATATTGTTACTACAGAACGAAGGATCTTGAGGACAACCAAAATGCAGTTAAGAGGATACCTGGGCTTGTTTCCCAGAGCTTCCAGAATTCCCCAGGCCAGAGCTTCTGATCCTTCAGTGTACACTCTGAGCCCCTTATATATGAGAGGTGTCGATCATTCGGTAGGTTTCATTTCTTATCAGGTGTATGCTGGCTGTCTGCCTAGTTGTTCTGGAGGATGCTCATTAAACTAGTAGGTACTTGATATTGGGACCTTAGAGTAGATTAAATGCACAGCAAGAGGAGGACAAACTCACATGGTGCTCAGCTGTAGGGCCTGGACGTGGGCTTGGGGCAGCTGTGACTGAGTGCATGTCAAGCCAGGACGACCCACACTTCCTTTCCTCTCTAGGGGGCTTTTCATCCTCTACAAGGATGGGGATGTTGATAACCCTGTGGTCCGTGAGAGGATCTGGCAAAATAGTGATTTCAACTTCGACAACGTCCTTTCTGCTATGATGGCACTGTTCACGGTCTCCACATTTGAGGGCTGGCCTGCGTAAGTATAGAGAACATCTTGAGAGTGTCCCAAGCCATCCATCCATCCATCCATCCATTCATTCATTCATTCCATCTTCATTCCTCGTTCAAACGTGTACCAGACTTGGATGGCTGCCACCGTGCCATGTCTTTGACCCACTCACTCACTCATTCATAAGAGGTGCTTTTGGTACCTGCCTCATGCACCGTGCTGTGTTAAGCACTGTGGAAGAAATGCTTGTCTTGACATGTTCCTCCCTTTGAGGCCCAAACCGCGTCAGAGTCTCAGGCAGTTAGACCAGGCAGGAGGGTCTGTTGCATCAGAGATGTGCAGAGTAGGGTTCTGAAGAATGGCTAGGATTCTGATGAGTAAAGTTTAAAAAAAAAAAATCCAGGAAGAAGGGAAAAGGTAGACTACAAAAGGAACGTCTCTTGCTCCTTTGCTAGTCTGTGCTCTGATGCCCACGCCGGCTCCCGCCACCTGAACGTGCATGCGTGCACGGCTTCCAATGTCAAGTTGCCACGCCCAGAGGAACTGCAAAAGGTGGACAGGCTGGTCCTCCGGGGACTGGCAGAACTCCCTGGATGCACAGGAGAGTCGGATTACTGACAGGAGACCTGTGCAGTGTGAGGATAGTTGGGTGGGGCTTGTTCATTAGGGAATTGGTCTGGGGAGCAGAGAGGCAGGAACGAGCCCTTCACTCTGGGGGAGGCAGTGGCTACAGTCTTGGGTTTTCAGCAGTGTGCTTTAGTTAACCAGGGTGGCAGCCGAGGGGAAACCACTGGACTTGCGCCTTGGCGCTCGGAGCAACTGGGCTCGTCTCCTGGCTCTGCCCCCAAGGAGTGTGACTTTGGTCACTTAGATCCCTCTCTGAGCTTCCATGTGATGGGGATGACTGTAATGTCTGCTTTTCTAGATGGATGGGAAAGTGGCTAGCACAGTGCACCATGGGGTGGGTGCCTTGGCAGTGCTGAATCTACATCAATGTGGGGATAAATTTAACTTGAGGATGTTACAGTAATTCCCCCCCCCCGCCTCCTTTTGAGAGTTCTGCTTGGTGTATATTTAATTTCTGTGTATATTTCAGTTTGGAGAACCTCTCTTAGTTCTTTGGAAATCCCGGGTTGCTTGCTTATTCTCTTTGTTGGCATATGTTTTCAGTTCCACGAATGTCTTACACGTGGTGTCCTTCCTCTCTCCCGCCAGGAGAAAGGAGCATTGTTAAATAGCTGTGAAATCTTTTGTTTTTCAGCTCTCAAAATATCAATCCCCAAATGCATCTCAGGTGTTCCCTCTTCAGGGTGCTGGACCAACTGGGCCTAATGCCAGCCAAGGAGGGCGCCTCAGAGACCTGTGTGCATCCAGGGGCCTTGGGTGGGCTCCCGGGGAGGGCTCTGACAGGCAGGGCCCACAGAGGCGGTCAGAAGAGGCACCACCTCAGAAGAGGTTGGGCTGCTTGGGCTGAGTGGGGGACAGGACTCACCTGGTTCTTCTGTTCTCCAGGTTGCTGTATAAAGCCATCGACTCGAATGGAGAGAATGTGGGCCCCATCTACAACCACCGCGTGGAGATCTCCATCTTCTTCATCATCTACATCATCATCGTGGCTTTCTTCATGATGAACATCTTTGTGGGCTTCGTCATCGTCACATTTCAGGAGCAGGGAGAGAAAGAGTATAAGAACTGTGAGCTGGACAAAAATCAGGTTAAAGTCACACACTGTTTGGGCTTCTGTCCCTTGAGCAAGAGAGGAGTGGCTTGTCTTTTGCCAGCTTCCTCCACGCCCAGAGAAGGGCGTGCACCTGCTAGCTGTCCTGGGGCTCAGGCCCTGTTCACAGCACCCTTTCGGCCAGTTTGAGTCCTTGCTGGGAAGAGTGAGCTTCCCAGATACAGACTAGACCTTGTCATTGTGATCCACCCCACCCTGCAGATGAGAAGTCAAAGAACATTTAGGGCACCTTCTGCGGGTGTGACCGGCTAGTGATGGCTCAGAATCTTGGCGGGGGGATGTGGCCAGGGGCCAGAAAGTACCCGCTGCCCCTCCCACAGTCCTTACGGGGGATCGTGTCTGATGATCTCCTCAACCTCAGCACTATTGACGTTTTAGGCTAGATAATTCTTTGTTGTGCTTTTGTAGGATGTTCAGTAGAATCCCTTGCCCTATACCCCCTCGATTCCAGTAGCAACCCACCGCCCTGGGTTTTGACAACCAAAAGACCTCTCTGGACATTGCCTAATGTCCCCCGCTTGAAAAACCATTGACTTAGGAAGAAGTAACCTATCCTACTGCAGGGAAAGTTACTAATGTTAAACCTGGGTCCAAGATTGCACTGGTGTCACTCCCTCATAATCTACTGCCTTGTCCGAACCAATCTTGGAGCAGCAGGGGCCTTTGACTCTGATTGCACGAGGATGTGAGGGGGTCAGGAGAACTGCTCCTCTCTGGGCTTGCTCCCTTCTCTCTAGATTGAGGGCACCCAGGAGTTGTTGTTAGAGGCCCCTTCCTGTCCTAACAGATGGCGAGATGGAGAATCTGTTCTGGTAGTACCCCCGGGCCCTGGCTCAGTAGCACCCCTGTTTGATGATGATGTAAGGAGTGGGGATCATCTGCCAGTCTGGGCTTCCTGAGGGGAAGTGGCTGTGGTGAGGCGGTCTGTCTTGGGCTGCAGCTGTGCCCACTGGGGCGGTGAGGGCAGGACCAGCTGGGCTTGTCGGAAGATGTTGCTTTGAGTTGTCAGGGCACCCCTTCAGATCCCATCAGTGTCAGCGGGAAGCCTGGCGCAGCTCTTCATCGCCCCCCGCTGCCCCCACCTCCCAGCCCCTGGAAGAAGACTGTCAGGGCAAGGCCCAGGCTGGCCAGGGAGCAGAGCCTGAGCTACCGTTGTGTCATCTCTTGAGGTCCAGAACAGGTTCGAATTGGTGTGTGTGTGTTGGGGGGGAGTCCCTGGACTCAGTGTGTGAGGTCACAGCAGGGCCAGATCTTGATCAGAGGGAGCCTGTCTGAAGTCAGAAGCCAGGGTCAAAGCAGGAGACTGGGAGTCAGTCTGGGTCTAGGAGCAAGTGGTGCCGTTGGCTGAGCCGAAGGGGCTGGAAGCTTCCGCTGGCCTGCAAAGGGTGGACCAGCCTCAGCCCCAGAGTGGGAAGGACAGTGCTCTGGCCATCGTGACTACCACAAGCTCCTGAGTCTCAGAAGGTCCCAGGGAGACACACAGCTAGTTCGCCATTAGACACATGTGGTTAATACCATCTGGCTCCCAAGACGTGTCTCTTGTGGATCGAGTCTCAGGGAGTGAAACCAGGCCCTTGGGCTCTGGAGCCTTTCTGTGTCTCTCATTCCCTGGCTTCCTTTCCTCGAGGTGGCCCCAGGCAGAACTGCAGGCATAACGCCCCAGCGTAGAGGAAAGGCAGGTCCTCAGGCAAGGCACTCGCCAGTCTGGACCTCTGTTTTAATAAGGAAAATGGAAGCACACTGGGTGCTCCGCTTACCGCCCCCCCCCGCCCCCGGGTTGGTGTGAGGATCCGATGAGCTGGCGGAGCTAGGGGCCTGTGGCTGGTGATGCCGTGTGGTGCCCATGGGGGTTGCTGTAGCGGCTTCCCCTGATCCACGGTCTCTCGCGGTGGGTGTGCCCCTTCAGAGCAGACGAGACCAGTGTCCTCCTCCCATGGGTGTGCTCAGGACCCCTCCTTGCTCTTTTCTGCCGTTGCAGCGTCAGTGTGTTGAATACGCCTTGAAAGCACGTCCCTTGCGGAGATACATCCCCAAAAACCCCTACCAGTACAAGTTCTGGTACGTGGTGAACTCCTCGCCTTTCGAATACATGATGTTTGTCCTCATCATGCTCAACACACTCTGCTTGGCCATGCAGGTAAAAATGGAGACAGCCGTGGGGATCACGTCTGGGCCTTCTGCACAGCCCCCTGCCCCAAATTCTGAGGGCGGAGTGCCGCCCCCTCACAAGAGAATGAGTGATTTTCTGATGAGTCTGGGCTGTAGTTTGGCCAGAGTCCCGTTCTGGCTAACAGTTCTCACGGTAGGCGTTTAAGGTGGCTCTTTTGTTTTAAGGGACTGCCTTTACAGCGTGACCATAGGTCACATTTCCATGGGGCCTGAGCCTGGCATTCAATTCTACAAACACTTAACTGGGGGCACCTGAGGCCAGGGAGCAGTTAAGGACTAAAGCTTGGTCTGTGTGGAGTGGGGCAGACGGGCGTTGCAATCCTGCCTTTACTCCTTACCAGCTGGGCAAGGCAATTTAAATCCCCTGATCCTTGCTTTCTTCACTGGCAAAATGGGAAATCTATCATACCTATGTCAGAGGTAGGGTTTGCACTGGATAATTCACATCAGGCCCTTGGCGCTGGGCCCATCACAGAGTAAACACCCAATGTTGAAAAACAAAACATAAGTCACATTCCTGTCTTCAAGGAGCTCTTAGAATGGTTAGAATGGTGGTGGAGAATCTTCCAGGTCATGGAGGAGAGTTTGGCCTGCAAAAGAGCTACTTCTTGATACCCTGGGGGCAAGGCATTGACTTCCTTCAGTTGGCCAAGTTGGTATTAACAGCGAGCATTTCCAGCAGTTATACTGTGAAGTAGATCCTGCCCTAGGACCGAAGCAAAGGCCAAGGTCTAGATCCGCTTTCCACACTGACTTTAAGAACTTAAGCAAATCAAACCAACTCCCGGTGCTGTCTGGAAAATGGGTCTAAAAGCCACCAGGGATACATTCTCTGGCATGTTTTTTAAATTTAAGAAGTCTTTATGAATGAGCAGGACCCCATGCTGATGTAGGGAAAAAGTGTGAGGTCAAGATGTTATTGCCTTTTATTGAAAGTGGACCTAAATGGCATCAAATTTATCCCCAACCAAATCCGGTCTTTAGTCATAGACATTTGGGTGGGTTCTGCCTTGTGCCTGGGTCAAGGCCCTGAATAGAAATCCTGCTGGGAGGAAGGGTGGGTTCCCTTCATCCTGAGCAGAGGAAATGGATGTCTTCCCCTTCATCTTCCAATCATCCTCATTCGTCAAGGCCCCCCTGTGCTTTGTGGTGAGTTAAACATGTGCCGTTGAAACCAGTGGAGGCTGCCTCCATTTCCAAGCAGAGGGTGGATGCCTGCAGGCAGCAGGGGGCTGGGGAGCCTCCTTTCGTGAGGCTGGCTGGGCCGGGCCCCTGAGAGCCATGCCTCTGCCTTTGTCCACAGCACTATGAGCAGTCCAAGATGTTTAATGACGCCATGGACATTCTGAACATGGTCTTCACTGGGGTGTTCACCGTCGAGATGGTTTTGAAAGTCATCGCGTTTAAACCTAAGGTGAGTCTCTGAGCCCACTTCTCAAAGGCTGTTGCTGAATCACTCCAGAGGAGCACACCCTTCCTGTTTGTCTTGTGTTACCGAGTGACGCCAAATTGTTGGGTCCAATAACTGGGTTATCACCTGAGAACGTTCAAATCTGATTAGGGCATCTGGGTACATATGGGAAAACAAAACTACAAAACAAAACCTCATGAAAAGAATTCTGAGAAAAAGAAGAAGGGGGGACAGAATCGGGAATTTGTAGAATAGAGATGGTTTTGAAACCAGATTTTCTGTGTCTAGAAGAGCCTCTCACGCTGTCTCAGGGAAAGTGGCCTCGTTGCTCGGGCATTAGACAAACTGTTGGAACAGAACCCATCAGAAAGAATTCAGCCTTGATTTGACTCTTAGGTTTCCAGGAGAAAGACCTTGGTTTTATTTGTCCTTGGTCTACAGCCTCTTTTTCACCTTTTATGGAAAGTTCTACCATTTGGAGAGTGCTTACCATTTATTTGACTTAGAAAAATGTCGCTTGACTTTAAGACAAAACAAGACATGAAAGCTGTTAAACGCTGTTGGACTAGTCAGCATATCGTGTCGCCTTTGGGAGGGAGCGGATCCAGCCCCAGCGTTGTCAGTGTCTGGGGTGGAAGAGGCTGACAGAACAGTGTCTAAGAGCACACGAACTCTGGATCCAAATCCATACTCCCCACTTGCTGACGCGAGTGAGTTCCTTAACAGCTCTGTGCTGCGTTTTCCTCGCCCACAGAATGAAGACACTACCAGCCCTGTTTCACAAGGTGGTTGGGAGGGGTGAAGATTCACTATCTGTGCCATGCTTAGAAGAGTGCCTGGCATGTAGTAACATGCTGTCATGAGTCAGTACTCTGACCGTGACGGCCACCACCATCATCGTCAAGTCACGATGGCCCCCTTGTTCTAAAACTGTAGATGGAGGAGCAAATCCAGGCTGAGCTGGGGGACGTTGGACCCTCGGCTTATTTGCTAGCAAAGCCCCCAAACTCTCAGTATGAGGCAGTGACAGAATCCGGGGACCCAGTTGTTGGTTCGGCTGGGTGTAAGACACCTTATGCCTAAAACGCTGATTTTACTGAGACTTGGATTATGATATGATGGTTTCACATACTCCATATTTCCTTGGAATTCTAATCCAAAACTGTTCCTTTCTTTAATTTGAATTAATTTTTATGCAATCTTTATCAGATCTTTGTGGACCAAAAAGAAAGGACACTTGTAAGTGATCACTTGGGGTGATTGCAGCGGGGTCAAATTTGGCACCTTATGCATGGCCAGATGTTATGTACTGTGACTTGTCCATATCTACATACATAAACATCTCCTCCTTTTTCAAATTCATCTTGATTTCCTTTGAGAGTTTTGGTTTGCTTCCCTGCCACCTTTACTTCTCTGAACAATAGTTGTCTGGGTTGATGAAAAAGGTTGCCAAGTAAGAACATCAAAAGGACTTGAGAGAGACAACACGGAACCTACCCACGGAACGTTTCTAGATCCCCTTGTCTTGTCTTCCCTTGCCTGGTGATTAAGCTCTGAAATGTTTCAGAGCTTGCTCTGGGCTGAAGAGAAGACACACTCGCCCATGGCATGTGTGCGTGAGAGTGCGTGTGTGTCCCTGTGTGAATGCGCACCCACTAGCGGACTCGTGCACCAAAGGGCTCGTACACTCCTCTGCCCAGTAAACCACTGATATCAAACCCGGGAGGAGGGTTTTGGTGGTATGTGATCAGACTGGTGATATCAGGAGGGAAATGAGTAGGCGTTTAAGGTGGCTAATTTTTAATCAGTACTGATTAATCAGAGTTTTAAAATGAGTGATTTCCGCTAGAAGTGGTGCTGCTTTGTTGTTTTGCCCAGCAAGATATTTCCGTAGCATGAAACAGCAATAGGAGCATCTCTGTGCTTGAGGAGTGCTATTTCTGCACTCACCAAAGCCAGGATAGACAGATTTTGTGTTGAGAATGGGGAGAGAATCATTTCACCAAGAAATAAAGCCCTTCACGTATTGCATGGAGCACTGGGTGTTATACGCAAACAATGAATCATGGATCACTACATCAAAAACTAACTATGTAATGAATGGCGACTAACATGACATAATAAAATAAAATTTAAAAAAAAAGAAAGAAAGCCTTTCTTTAAATGCTCCCTGACTTTTCCTTGTTTTTCTCTTCTGGGTTGACAAAGCAAGCCCATGGGAGTAGGCTTTGACTAAGAAGCAGTGAGACCCCTCCTCTCTCATCAGAGAGGAATTCAGGCTGAGGAGCAAGGTCATAGAGGCTGCTGAAGGGAGAGTCTTCCAGGAGATGGCTGCATGGGACAGAGGGCCACACGGGAACCCTAGCCCATGGGTCTCCTCTCAGGAAAGCCTTCGTCTCTGTGAGGAGTTGGTTACAGGGCCCCTTGGGGCAGTGTTCTCCACAGTGAGGGGCACACCTTCTAGGAAAACTTGCCAGCATCTGTCAGGAGAGATGGGGTTGCAGCTGTGCTGAGATTCAGTTACAGAAAGTGAAGTTGGACAAATCCTTCCTGATGGATGAGAAGGCACCGTGAGGAGGATGGGTTAAAAGAAGTTGGGAAACCTGACCGTGGGGACTTCTGTATTCAAGAACCTGCCAGAGAGGTGGGGCCTGCCAAGAGCACACATTTAGGGAGAAGTGGTTTGAGGACTCAGCAGGTCAGGTCATCCCGCCTCCATAAGCAGGGAGGGGAGGGGTTGAGGTAGAGAGGCAGAGGTAGGAAACCCAGAGCTGGGGAGCTGCCCTGGCCGGGGAATGAGGCTCACTGAATGGGAAGAGCTGTTCTGAGCATTGGTTCTAGGCAAGAGTGCAAGGTGGCAAGAAGCCGAAGAGCAGGATTAGGGAAAAGCAAGGAGGCGGTTGAGTGTATTACATCTACTCCCCAAGGGAAAACCCACCATCTGGCATTGACCTTGCATACTCTAGATTGTGCTTTAACTTGGAGGTGACTGTGCCATCCTAGGCTTTTAAAAGGGAGGTCCTAACTGAAGTAAGATAAGCCCACTTCCCTGGCCTTTCCCTCTGGTACTCCCAGGGGAAGCCATGGGACGTGTCCAGTGAATTCTCTTGCTCCAAGGAGGAAACTGAAGAAGAAGGGCCTTCCCCAAAGTACTGGCTCCTGCAGGAATAAAGAGCAGTTCCAATTTGCTGGGGCTCCCTCTTTGTGCTTCCAGATGTCGCCTGCCTTTGTCCAGCACGTACCCGAGGCCAGCTTAGCTGCCTCGGCCGCGGGCTTTTCCCCGAAGAGCCACACTTGGTTCCCAGGTCTGCATTTTGATCTTGGTTCTACCTCGAAAGTGACGAATTTGTACTCCTGGCTACTTGGGCTTGGGGGAAGTAAAGGCTCGTTGGGTTTGGGGGAAGAGGAGAGTATTGTGGTGCTGTTCTCCTACCCCGGTGCAGAGCCGCTGCACCGTGGACACCAGCATTGGTGCCCACCAGCCTCCTGGGACGGCATTCCCTGTCCCAGGGCCCCTGGCAGGAATGCAGGCTCTTAACAAAGTGTTAACGATCTCTTTGGAGGACACCCTCCATCTCCTAGGAAGAACATCTGATAGCCTTTACAGTTTGTCAGTGACCGCATCTCTTTTAGGTGATCTGTTTTAACGCCATATAATACTTGAGACCAAACATTCTTCTCCTTAGCTAGAACGTTGCGCCAGACCTCGTGGGCTCAGCCTGTGTCTTTGATGTCACAGCTTCTCAGGGTGCTCTCCTGGTCCCCTTCTCCCGTGGTAAATGCCTTACAGGCCCAGAGCTTCTCCGGCCATCCATGTCATCCAGACCTCCTGCCCCTCCTTTCCCTGGACTGCTAAATTTCCCCCGTCCCACAACCCCGCCCAGCCCCTCTCTGCTCATCTTCCACAGCAAAACTTCGGTACCAGCCACCTGTTGCCTGAGCAAAAAAAAAAAAACACACCTTAGAATTTTCTTAGTTTCATGTTCAAAGTCCTCCACCAAACCTTGGCCCATTTGCACTTCCGCCTTGCTTCCCCTGTCATTCCTTCTACACTCCCCATCCCTAGCTGTTAACAAGCCAGGCCTCTCCATGGCATGGGCTTCTGTATATGAAAACCCTTTTGCCTTGTTATTGCCTGAGGCCCGTCTGAAATGTGGGTTTCTCTGTGACATCCTCCCTACCAGCTCGGCCAAAGTCTGTTCTTCCCTTCACCTGCGTGTCCACTAGATGCTTACTGGGCGATGTCATGATCAATACTTCTTTGGATCTCTCCGTTAACTGCTGAGAGGCTGCTCGAGGTCACAGGCTGGGTCTCCTGCGTCCCACACAATGCCTGCTCTGTGCTGGCCGCTCATTAAGGATGGGTGGAATGAAGAAAGGCATAAACAGATGAGCCTGTAGGTGCAGCCTCTTGACATGAGATGGTACACAGGGTACTTTCTGTCACAGGATATTTGATCGGAGTAGAGTGGCCAAAGGTGAATGCTTTCCGGTAAGCCCCCACTTGACCTCTGGAAAGGCTTGTGCTAGTTAGAAAGCTGTCAGTTATGGTGTCTGCAGAAATCTGGTACTGTGGGTCATCTCTTGGGTCCAGCACTGCCCAAATAGTCCCCGGCAGAAATTGCTGAGTGACCTGGCTGCCGTGGTAAACCCCAAAAGCGGGTGATTTGTGTGGGCTCCTTCAGATCTGCAGATGAGAGGGACTCCAGGCAGCAAAAAGAACCCAGACTCGGGTTGCTTCTCTTGTTTCTGTTCCACACACGTTACCCCCCCAACATGTTACCCCCTCCACACACACACACGGGTGCCACACCTGTGTGCTATATCCTGGCTGGAGTTCTAGCTCTGCTCCCAGGAGCCCACAGTCAGGAGCGACGTGGACACTGACAGACTCTCAGAGTTCTTGGAAGTCTTGAAAGTTCCTGGCCCTAATGCCCACATGAGTCTGCTTTATGATTTAAAATTTCTGAGTCAGACCTGTTTCTGAATAATAGAGATTATCACATGTGGCTGACTTGCTTGGTCTTTCCAAGCCAGTAGGACTGGACAAAAAATAAGAGTTGATTCTGGCTGAGTGCTAGCGACTGCTGGTTCCACTTGAGGGGCCCTGGCCTGGGCATTCAGTGTCAGGAGAACCTGTCATTTTTGTCCAAGAGAAGAGGGCACAGGGATGGGTCCTCTGCCAGAAGCCCTTTGTCTCATCTTTTGGTTGCCTAGACACTGTGGTGATGTTGGTGGGAAAAGGGTGGGGGACTGAGTCCTGCTCATTCGACAGTGATTTGATCACATAGGAGGCTACTAAACAGGGAATCAGATGTGGGGAGAAAGAGAGCCTGGCAATTTCTGCCTCCGCTGGCCCCCTGGCATAGCCACCTTGTCTGAGCTTGCGATTCCAGCCACCTGCATCAGCTCGAGCCTCCCGTTGTCTGCATTAGGGGTAGGTACCTTCAGTCCAGGAGTCTCTAGGACTTGGGCACAATTTGTGAGTGTGTGGGATCTTCTGAAGAGAGTTGATGAGATTGCCAAAATGTTCCAGGACCCCAAATGGGAAGCCCCTATTGCATTGGTTTAAGGTGATTTCATGTACCACAGTGGCCAGAATGGGCCAGTTGGAGGATAGTGTGTAGGCCAATGGGAATGATTCAGAGGTAAGTACTGATAATTCTGGAAAAGCAGGGGAGGAGCTGTTCAGGAATAAAGTCCAAAGTAGGTGTGCAGGTGGTGGCCTTGGCCTCAGGTGAAGAGCCTACTGTAGTGGGGGGAGTAGCACGTGGGGTACAGCTATGGGCGGGGGCTGGTCCTGTGCCCGGACAGGAGAGGAGGAGGAACTCGGGGTCTTCAGCTGCTCTCCATACCCCGGAGGCCTGACTATTATGGGCACCCAGCTGTCTCAGTGAGGCATCGGCTCCTCTCTAGGGGAGATGGGAATGATCACCATACTGTCCTTAGCTTTGGAGATGCTCTTAAATCCAGGAAGGGAAGGCTCTGGTCCTCAGAGTAGCTTGTGGCACGGCTGCTGGTCAAATGCCTGTTTGTTACCTATTCACACAATGTAAATAAGGGTCCCCGGCACCCCCACAGCAGCGCTTAGCACTTGACCCAAGTGACTTTTGTGTTAGGAGGTCTTCTCTGTGAAGGAAACAGTGTGCTCCTTTGAGTCCAGGCGCAAGCTCTTTGTGTCCTGGCTGGCCAGCGTGACCAGCATGCTCAGTGGCTCTAGTCTAGCCCTCAGAGTGGCTGGCCTTGCCCCAGTCTGCCAGCCAAGAATCACGGAGCACTGGGAAGAAAAGCTAGAAGGTGCAAAACGTGGTGTTCATTAAGACTTGTCCTATTAGACTTGTGTACACAGGTCGGCAGGGTTGGTGCAGGCAGAGGCCATTTGTTTACTCTTTGGAGGCCTGAGATGAGGGGTCTGGGAGGATGCCAGTCAGTGAGGCAACGTGTGACAGAGGAGGGGAAGGGAGAGGTGAAGAGTGGGTGAGAGGTCATGGCAGATTGGGTGGGAAAATCTTATATCATTTAAGATGAAATTTTTAAAAGTCCAGGCCATCAATTAGTGTCATAGCTCCCCCATAATTGTACTTGGAGTGCGTGATCAACAGTAACTAGAACAAACAGCCCACTCCAGTTATTAGGATGGCCAGCACGTGCACACTTTCTATCGTGTCATCGAAGGCTGGGGCTCTGCAGTGGCTTTCTTGGGGCCTGCATGTGATCACAAGTTGATGGGACCTGAAACTTCAAAGTACCTTCTGTTCTGGTTTTCTTTATCCTCACTAAGTGTACCCAGTTGTAACCATGCTTGGCCCCTTTTTATATATTTCAGACCTGGATTTTTTTTTTTTTAATTTCCAAAACATGTTCTGACTTTTTGAAAAGACAGTTGATTTTCAGATAGAGTCATCGACCATGCAACCAGAAGCCTCTATGCGTAGTGCCCACCCCCACCCCTCTGACCAAGAGTTTCCAGAGGCTGTCAGGAGACAGCAGGCACGAATTTAGCCCCTACTGTGCTGAGCCCTCAAGAGCGCATACATAAAATGTATGCCACATAGATATACACGGATTTATAAGTCACAGGGACATCGTGCCTTCATGCTTGTTGCAAGATAGGATCTGGATGATGGTAGGATGCTAGGTCAGTGGAAGAAAGAGACATTGCAGTGTGTGGAGCAATGGGATCAAGGCTCTGGGGTAGATAGTGGGGCTAGTGGAGGAGGGGACGGAAGAATCAGCACGGTACTCATCCTCAGGGGGCTTTCAGTGGGTTAAAGCTGCAGACAAAGACCCCAAATTCAGTGATGAGGACATGTGAGAGGCAGAGCAGAGATCAGGAGGATCTGAAAAGGTCCCTTCAAGGAGCTGGCATTTGGTCTGACCTTGAAGGAGGAAGTGGATTTGGGCAGAGTCTGTGTGGAGAGGGCTGGGATTGCTGTTGCAGCTGAGAGAGGGGGAAGAACCTGTTGGTGCTTCTGAGGGATGGCAAGGAGTCCTCCTAGCCTGGAGGGTGGAGAGAGAAGGGAGGAGAGCTGGGGTACAAGGAGGATTCTCTCGAGGCCAATGGGAGCCTTAGTGCATCATCACCCTTGACGGCGCTTTTCCCTTGTAAGACCTGTGTGGGCTCCCTTCACAACCCCCTTCCCCACAGACTGCAGTGAATCCCCCCACCCACCCACCCCCCGCCCCGCAACTCTGTGCCCTGGACTGCGTGCCTCACTGTGCCTCTGTCCCAGTGAGGCCAAGGGCTCTGTGAGGACAGAGCACACCTTTCATAATCCTTGCACTGGTGAGGAGCCGGAGGAGTTACTGATTTGTTTTAAGAGCACAGAAAGAAGAACGTGTGAAAGGCTGGTCACAGTGCTCTTCAATTGGGAGAAGAGAAAACACTTGGGGAAGGAGTAGGGGCAGGGCCTGCTGACTCTTCTGTGTAAGGGTTGCAAACTTAGAAGGGTCGCACACCCTCTTGTGACGGTTTGAAGTTGTGGCCCTAGTTGCACGGGCAGGGTTTTCAGAGGCCCCTCGGCCCTGCACAAACTCCGCTTGGTCTGGGGCCGCTCGGGGCCATGGGTCTGCACGGCGCATGCGTGCGTGCGTGCGTGTGTGCGTGCGCTGTGCCTGCGTGCGTGTGCGTGCGTGCGTGCGCGCCCTCTCTCACACATGCAGGTGCACCCCAGCCTGTGTCCCTTTCTGCCCCTGGACGGTACTGTTGCCTCCCTTTGGCTCTCCCACCCCACCTGGTTGCCATGGGTACGGCGGGGCATCCGACATGTCCCCGTATGATCCATGTGGCGTTTCCATTCCTACGTGCTCATAAACGTCTGCCCCCTGCCTGCTCTGTCCAGGGGTATTTTAGTGACGCCTGGAACACGTTTGACTCCCTCATCGTAATCGGCAGCATTATAGACGTGGCCCTCAGCGAAGCCGACGTGAGTATGCGCCCGCCGTGGCCGCCCGCCTCGTGTCCTCTCTCTGTCTGCACATTCCGCTCCCCGCCCCGCACTGGCATCACCTGGACAAGTCACAGGCCCCAACCTCACTGGATCTAAAACCAGGAATTTCCTCACGAGAGCTGTGGACAAGAGGCTTGTGAGGGTCGAGCTTTTTCCCAGGCCTTTGCAGACTCAGAGCACCTTTCGGAGGGCCGACTCGGGCGGCGTTTCCTGAGCCGCTGGTAGGCAGGGCAAGACAGGCGTCTCTCACTGTTTTTATTTGCTGTGTCAGCGGCAACACCCAAAGTGACGTACCTGTAACATGTTTGTTTTAGAGTGATTTTTTTTTCAAGTAGCCGGGTGGCATAATGCTAGAATGTTCCCTTTTTATAACACTGTCCTTTTCTTCTTTTTTCCTGTTGTGCTTCCTCTCCTCTGTGGCTTCTGAATGCTTGCCCTAACAGCACTATTTCACTGATGCATGGAACACTTTTGATGCCTTAATTGTTGTTGGTAGCGTCGTTGATATTGCTATAACTGAAGTGAATGTAAGTAGCAAACTTTGTGTCCTGTGACGTGATTGTTTCTGTTAAGTCTGACACTCAGGAGCCTAGAAACCGTATCCATGGGTCTCTCTACACTTAAGAAATTCGGGCATACATTTGTTCTAAAAGATGAAGAACATTTGGTAGCCTCCCCTCCCCCGCCCCACCCCGTTCCCCTGAAAGAGGGTGGAGAAGGAAATGTAGAATGGCCATTTTGGAACCAAACATTATTTTAAAAAAAGAAGTTCTTATGAGCCTGTGAAGGGCCGGGAGTTAATTTATGTGAGAATGTGAACATTGGCACGCGCTAGCTGTGTGACCTCGGCCGGGCACCTGACTGCCCCGTGCCTCAGATTTTTCCAGCTGCAAAATGGAGTTCCTAACATGTGCCCTGGTACCCACGATAGTTCTGTGAAGGGAAGGGGGGCGGGGCTTCACAGCCACGCCATGAACACGTGACTGCTGCAGACTTTGCCTGTATCATGTGCACCTGCCGAGTCTGACTAGTGACACTGGGGAGTACCCTCTGTCCTAGCTCACCAGATGATGGTGATCTCATGGACCAGGGGAAGGAGGGCTGAGTGTGTATGAGGACAGGGTGTCCATTCTCTTCTGTTGCACTTGATTGAGCCCTTTAATAAGGAAACAAGTGCAGGAGCAGTGTGGTAGGTGGAGTGACCCACCCTTCCAGAACCATCCTGAGAACCCTCCTTCAAAATTAAGAGGCTCCAGAAAGGGGAGCACTGCCTCCTGCCAGTAGTTCTTGGATCTAACCCATGCCTAAACCAGAAGGGCCTGAGGCAGGCACAAATGGCCCTGCTCACCTGGTCTGTCCCCAGTTTGTCACAAGTCTTAGTGGGTGTCCAGTGTGTGTGCCCCAGTTGTGTAGAGCCCGTGGCGGGGATGAATGGAGCATGGGGTGGGACTGCTGTGTGGTGTTGGCTTTCTGCTCCATGTGGCCAGCCCCGCCCTCCTCCCCCACCCCTGGCTGGGAAGGGGCCTCCTCGCTCTGCCTGGCTGACATCTGCAGGGTTGTACGGCCTGTCCTGGTGTCCAGACAGCCTGTATCAAATAAGGATGGTGCAGTCCCTCTTTATACCACTGCTTTGGGGCTAAGCTAAGCCTAGATCACAGACCAGTGGGACGGCCACTGGCCCGGCACTCCTAAGGCCTGACAGTTTTGGTCTTGGTTCAAAACTGACTTGTTGGACCTGGGCCTCAGTTCCCCATGGATCAGCTGGGGCGAATGATATCTGCCCTCCCTGCTTCATAGGTGTGTCGGGGAAATAAAACGATGCAGATATTTGTCAAAATACTGGTTGCAAAACTTAAAGTATTAGGGAGATAAAGGCTATTATCCAAGTGTAGATTTTCCATGGACTAACAAGTGAAATGGACTGTAAGGCACGTCCACGAGGGTGTGATGGATGCCTCACAACACCCCAATCCATGCCATGACAAGGGACTAAAGTGGTATTTTCCTAGACCCAGGAAGATACATCCCCCAACCTCCATGAGCCCAGATTTAGGTAAATTCCACTTTATGTGAAGTATCCCATAACTCAGCTATAAAATTGTCATTCATAATGTGTAAATTATGTTTGGTTATAAAATAATCTAATGCTAATGGCAGAACAGCAGGACCCTAACTGGGCTGCCATGAGCTCTCTCCTGAGTTTATGACCAGACATTGCCTGCTTAACCATCTCCTGACGTAAAGCACTTACAACCTTTGTCAAAGTCTGCTTATGTGAAAATTCTGGCACAGACCCTTATGTAAGTCAGAGATGGTCTGTAATGGAAATGAAAATAGAATAAACTACAGTTTCAGCAGTTCTCCCTGGAGTGCTCCGTGCTGAAAGGGATGTGCAGGTGGTGGGCATAAATGCTGGGTTTCTGGGTACCAGGATGTGGCCAAGGTTTGTTCACTGAGCCAACAAGCCAGCTCTCCCAATGCCTCATCTCTCGCCCCCCCCCCCCCCCCCCGCTGGCTGGCAAGGTGTGGCGCTGGTGCCCTCGGTTGACAGCACGTGCCCAGCTTTCCGGCTGCCCCCTCCATATGCTGGGGGCAGGAGCACACCGTGCCTGTCCCCTTTGGCCCCGCCTTGCTCATCAGTGTCGCAGACATATCCTTCTTCATGTGTCATCCGTCAGGAAAGCTGCAGTGGTACAAAAACGCACACTGAACTTTCTAGTTAGCATTTGACTTTGGGGTGTCTGCACAAAACAGGCTTTCATTGGGCCCATTTCTGGCACTCAGTCAGACTTTCAGAATCACGCCGGTGACCATTCTTATACCATTTTCTAGTCAGTGACTTTTCCCCTGGTCAGATACAGCCCAAGACAAAAGCTCCCTCAGCTGTTGGCAAAACCAGCTGTCCGCCCTGGGCTGGTAGAACCCCTTGGGAGGTCTCAGCAGTTCTGGGCTGGGCGGCAGTGCAGGGCAAATGCTCAAAGCCACCTTCTCATGTATTCAGTCTCTCAACACATGTGTCCTGGGCACGTACAGTTTGCAGGCTATGAGCACAAAGATAAAAGAGACTGGATGTCCTTAACTTCTGATGGTATAACTGTTAGTGGTGGAGCTGTCAATTCCTCCAGCCCCCTCTCCCACACATGCCAGGTTCCCCAGAGGAGCAACGCACATCCTATCCCTGGGCTGGCCTTACCCCCCAAACTCCTGGGTTAGCTCAGCTTGAACACCCTTCGTCCATGTCGGCTGTTTTTAGCTACGATAAGTCATCATTTTTTGCAATATTTAACTTGCTGTGCTCTCTCCCCCAACCTCTGTTGATCTTTCTTTTCTGTTGCCTAATTGATTTTCATGTTGGTTTTATTTTTAGAAAATTGTAGCGGCAAGTATATATAAACATATATACGGTGATGTCGTTGTTAAAGCAAAAGCACTTTAAAGACTGTATACCTGTTTGTGGCTTCCCCACCTTTGGTTTTCACTGAGTTTCACAGGGTGTGCTGTTTATGGGTTGTGGTCATCTAAATTGTTTCCCATCCCCTGGGTCCCAGTCTCCACCTGGGGTCTGGCCAGGGCCATCTTGGCCAGTCATGCTTGGCTGTGTGGCTTGCCAGCATTGTCTTCAAGAATGATTGATCTGGCCTGCAAATGAGAAATCTAGCTTGCGTTTGTAGTTTGCAAAAACATTTTGGATGGCCCTTTCTGTTGTCCTGCTTGATGCCCCCTCAGCCCCCTCCTGCTGCCCCTGCCTATGTACCTCCCCACCACCCCTTGCTCTGACCATGGTTTGATGGCTCTCACAGATTTGTCTTTATCACATCTGGTCATAACATCATCAAGCTGCTAAAATGTCAGATGATGACTGGCAGGCTCGCCTTTGCTCACCCTCGGATGCCTATTGGTGCCTCGAATGGTAAAATGACCCAGAACCCCACTTTCCCTAACCCGGGCAGTGGCTGTTGCTGGCACTGAGTCCTTTCCCACTATCATTATTGCTGGGGAGGCCAAATACTTGTGCAGAAGCTATGACTGCCTTGTTCTTACTTACTGAAGGCGTGTGAAAAGTTAGTAAGGAGCTCCCTCCCAGGGACCCAGGAATTGTCCCTGACCTGGTGACCAACAGCTGTACTCAGCTTCTGGTTGTTCAGCCCTCTGTTCTAGGTGCCAGCCTTTTTCCGGGGACCAGGTCACTGATTTCTGGACATAGGCTCAGCATTCCCATATACAGAAGCCCTCTCTCCCAGAAGTGTTATGTGCCAGGTCAGAAGTAGCCAGAGGGAGGCTCTCCCCCACTCCCACCTCCAAAGAGCAGGTTCTCCAGGATGTTCTGTGATGCTGGTTTGCTTCCTGTCTGGAGTGGAAAACCACGTCATCTAAGCCTTTCCGGGAAGAGATGGGGATTAATACAGCAAGTGCAGACTGGTCTCTTTGGTTGCACTTGGGAAGCTCAGGGATTGTTTGGCTCCAGTAGTTGCTGGGGGCTGACCCCAAACCTACACCTCAAGAGCCTGCCTGAGAACCCTGTGCGAAGGGGCTGGAGGGTCATCAGGTGTGCCCCAGGATCTAAGGAGACTTCTAGACCCAGGCACACAGTTTGGCCTCCTGGGGCTGAGGGCCATCTCCCTGTGGGGTTCCCAGCTGAAGACAGTGACCCTCAGGGTTGGAAGGAGCTGCTAAGCGCCTCCAGCCCAAGCCTGGAGATGGCACTGGAATCCTCTCTACTGAAGGCTGACCACACAGCCCTAGTGGCTGTCTTTGGAAAACTACCCAGGGAGTGAACCCTTTCCCAGTCTCAGCCTCTGAGGGCATTCTGTCATTGATCCCGAGTTCACGCAGGGCATCAGCTCACCCATGTTCCAACCACAGCCTCCAAAGCCAGCTGTTTCCAAGCCTCCTCCACCCACTGTGGGCAAGATGGGGATGCAGTTAACCTGTTTGCATCGTCTGGGTACTGAGCCCTCATCAACTCCAAAAGAACCCACTGCTTAGCTGTAACAGCCTGAGTGGGCTTTTCTAGGGGCTCCCCTCTGTATGGCCCATCCAGACCAAAAGGAATTTGTTGACGTGAGTGACCACCTGAAGATGTGCCCAGCTTTACCCTGGCTTAAGACTGGAGTTCCCTCGAGCAGCACCTTAGAATCACCTGGGAGCTTTTAAAACTCCCAAAGCTCTGGCACACCCCAGACCAAGGAGATAAGAATCCTTGGAGTGTCACCCGGGCATCAGATTCTGCAAAAGAGCCAGCCCCAGGCAGTTGGAATGTGCAGTCCAGGATGAGAGCTGGCCTGCCCTTTGCATCTGGCTGGCATCTGTAGTTTGGGCAAAGCCATCTTCAGGGTCCTTCCAATTTGTAAGATATTTTGGCAACTTGCACCGTCCTCCAGTGCCGCCAGCAACATCCTCCCCCACGGCAGTGCTCCCTGCCCAGCATGGCACTGAGGGAAGGAGGAGGTGTCACAGGCTGCACTGGGGGTGCACGTGGCTTGCTGTGCTGTTTGTTCTGTCCTTCCTTTCTGCATGTTGTGCTGACGTGTCCCTCCACAAATGCTGTCTGGTTCTCCTCTTCATTTTTTTTTTTTTTTAAGAATATCCAGGGTTTCAAGTTCATAGTCCAATATGTGTCATACTTCAAAGGTGTCAGTTGGAAAAGAAATGTGCACTTCAAACGTCAGTTTGGCCACTGACTTTACCACATTTTGAGGGAGGGGGCACTGAGAGGTCTATCAGACTTGGAATGAGATGGGGAGGACAAGCAGAAGGGGCTGGGGCCAGATCGTAGCCAGAGAGTGTCTTCCCTGACCAATAGCCCTCTTATTCTTGCAGGTCTAACACACAAGTTATGGACATCTCAAAAGTATCACCGTAGAGTGCTCTGTTTTAGGCACACCCTGGCCCCCTTGAGCATAGGCAGGCAGAGGCATGCATGCACACACCCCCACATACTCACACACCCTCCCACTCCAGCTGCATGGGTGAGACCCAAAAGCCTCATGCACACAGCCTTAGGGAGATTGGGAGACAGAACTTTAGAGCACTAATTCCTCCATTTGTTAAAGTCATAAGTTAAAACCATCATCTGTCCCTTTAAGATGTTCTTTGTCTTGAGGTGAGAGAAAAGAAGAGGAAAATAAAAGACAGTGACTGGGGCTTGGACCGTGCCATTAGAGGGTTCACCTTCTGAGCATCCTGGGTGAATCAGGGACCCCTTTGGAACCCTATCAGAACCAGTTAGTCCTGGGTTTGTCCTCACATTGCTGAATTTCACTTCTGATAGGATGTACCACAACTCCTTCTTTTCCATGAGTTTTATGTTTGGTCTCAGGAGGCAGCTGTTAATGAGAGTGAGAATTCAGAACAGAGCCCTTTCCCTGTATCCCCAGGGAGGAGAACCACTCAGATTAGTGCACGCCATCTATGCGTGTGCATACATCCCTTAGCTGTGCAGACACGCCATGCAGTAGGCTCCCTAGAAACCCTGGGGACCACTCAGCAGTTCCAGGTCCCCAAGAACTGGCTCATTCCTCTGTCAGTTACCAGGTAGACCAGCTGCTTCAGTGGAGGGTACCCTCCTAAAGGGAACAGAGAGGCCGTCATTCCTTGTCTCTTGTTCAGCCCTTACTGTTTTGTTAGAGCTTGCTTACAACCTCTTTCCAGTTTCTTCAACACTGAATATCTAATAAGTGCCAGACTGCATGCTGGGCACTGAGTGAAGCAAGGTCCCTGCCTGAAGGGGAGGCAGGTGCCCAAAGGGTGATGAGTGGTGTGGTTCAGCCCCCTGTGACCTGAACTATAGGTGCCCAGCCAGACCCTGGATGAGGTGGAAGTGCAGAAACTCAGGGCAAGCTGGTCCTAAGCTGCTGCTGCCCAAGAGTCCCACGGGGCTGAGCGCTGTCTTTCTGACAGCAGTCAGGGCTGTAGGCTGGGCACTGAAGGCTTCTGTGGGGAAACCAGCCCCTCTCCACTCACACTGACTTGGTTTGCCCACCTCCTCAGCAGCCCTTCCCAGGTATGTGGCTCAGGAGGCGTGTGGGGTGTAGGCAGGTACCACTCTGCCCCATTTGGTAGACTCCTGTTCATCGGGGTTAGGAGTGGCCTGCTGCAGGGCAGTTAGTTCCCCAGACCCACAATCCTGCCTCAGCAAAGAGAACTAGCCTGCCTGTGAGAAGCAGGGTCCCACTCTGCATGTCTGTCTTTGGGGACAACTGAGGTCTTGCAGCCTTCTCTTTTACTGGATGCCTGCCAACCTCAGAGCATCATGTCCTGGGATGTGAATTAGAAAGTAGCATGTCTGAGCCTATGTCAAAGGCTGCCCACCCTCAAGTCCAGGTTCAGACAGAGCCCCTGGCATTTTCTCAGGGAGGGAACAGCCGTGTTGTCCTAAGACACCAACCAGAAGTTTTTAAAAAGTGGGGAGGGGCCCATCCTTCTGAACCACTGCTTCCTTTCTGTTCATTAATACATTGTCAATCTTTGATTTCTTAAAGCCAACTGAAAGTGAAAATGTCCCTGTCCCAACCGCCACACCCGGGGTAAGATCAGTGACGAGTCCCCCAGGGCTGGGCCTTTTCCTTGACCATGCTGAGTTTCCCACTAGTGTTTCTGTATTCTCCATGGTTGTCCTTCCAAAACAGTGTCTGCGGTGGTTTGCATTCATCATCAGTGTCCAGTACTCTTGACCAGCCCAGCGTTCTCCTCTTAACACACTTGACCACGTGGACATGCATGTGCTGTGTGGACGCAGTTTCCCAAGCCCTGTGTTGTTAGCATGTAACTCTTCCTTTCATATCATGCTTTCCAAGGTGAAAAGGCCCTAGAAACACATCTTCTGTTCTTACCTCTGTCACCTTTGTTTGCATCTGTTGCTGTTTTTCTGAAAGTGTTGCATGTTCTACTTTGCATTGGGTTTGACCTCTCCATGATAACCCTTCAGAACTCTGAAGAGAGCAATAGAATCTCCATCACCTTTTTCCGTCTTTTCCGAGTGATGCGGTTGGTGAAGCTTCTCAGCAGGGGGGAAGGCATCCGGACGTTGCTGTGGACTTTTATAAAGTCCTTTCAGGTAAGAGCCAGGCCGGGGGCTTCTCTGTTGCTCTTGGAGATCACATGTGAGCCAGTGAGTGTCCTCTGTCGTGGAGGATCTGGACTCCCTTCCACATAGCCACTGTGACCCCCTAGGTCAATAGAGGATGTGGAACATGGAGGCACCTGACCCAGCTGTCCTTGGTGAATCAGACAGGATTCTTGCTTAAAGGAAACAGAAGGCACTAAGGACTTGCAGTTAAGGAGGGGTGTAATGTTTCTCAGATGGATAGGGATGGGGAGTCTCCAAGCCCCTCAGTCCTCTCTGGAATGCCCAGTGGTGGAGGGTGACATCTGAGAGAGGGCAGGTCCCAGCAGACCGCCCGTAAAGTGAACAGCTTCTTGCCAGGACAGCTCTTCCTCCTGAGGCTGCCACGGTCCTCTCTGTTGGCTGGTCTAGATATGAATCAGAGACTACTCCACCTGAGCCAGCACACCATCCCCAATCTCTGCATTACCCAATACCTGCAAGGATCACAGCATTGAGGACATTTGGGCATAAGCCAGGCCTCACTTGTCATCTGTGATTCTCCAGGCTGGTGCAGCCTGAACCAGGACTGACCCAGCTTCTCCTGTACCTTTTAGTACCCCACCCCAGATATTCTAGTCTTCCCGACTGAATTAACTGGGGACGGGGTACAGATTCTTATTTAAAATATTCATCTATGTAAGGGAAATGTAGCTATGTATAAGTATTAGAAAGTGTATCATGAATCTTCGTGACTATTTTTAATTTGAAATAAACACCTTGACAAGTGAAGCTATCCAAAGACACGTAAAGAAAAAGTTCAAGCTAAGCCCACCACCTCTGAGGTAACTGGTGTTAATGTCCCAGGGAGCGTTTTTCTGCTTGGGTAAGATTTTAACACGTAAAGGGAAAGGATGGCTTCCGGGAAAGGGGGTAGATCCAAAAACTCAAAGAAGGGAAATCACAGATTCTGGCAGGAACCTGAGGTGGTCAGAACTGGGGATACAGCTCTCGGGGAGAGCGAGCAGGGCCTCAAGTGAGCCTTGGTCTCAGAAAGGGGTCAAATCCCAGACATTCGTTATTAATATAAAGTACCAAAGTTTTCGAGTGAACTGCTATAAAAATAGATTCATGCAATAATGTCATACTTACTTCTAAAGAAATTATTAAACTTTTTCTTTTTAAAAGTTTGGCCACTGTGGATAAATTCATCGAACAAAGTGGTAGTTCACAAAAACTGAGAAACAATGCCAACAGAATTCGTAAAGATTCAGTAATCTAGGAAGAAAATGTGTATAGGTACGGTGAGGAAAGCCTGGAGCTAACCCTGTGGGGCTCTGGCCAGCGGTCAGCCATCAGGACAGTGCTATCGCACAGCGGGAAGGTTTTTAGCCACTGGCTTTCTGATGACCTTTTGTAGATAAAAGAGAAAGTAGATGCTTTCACCATGAGTGCTCTGGCCACTACCTGGAGGTGTACCATGTGCATGTCACACGACATGTCCTAAAAATAAATAGTTGAGGAACAGGGATGAGAGGACCAGGGGTCTGACCCCACACATACATACCTGTATCTAGTGTTCTTAAGGAGAGTCCAGGTTTGGCGACCACCCAGCTAGCTCCCTTTCTTTTCCCTGACCCAACCGCCAACTCGCATTCTTTCAGAAAGTGTGCATTTTAAGAAAGATGTCTTGCTTTCTGCAATAACAGGCAGAAAGTGGTTCTTCCCCTTGGCCCCAGTAATTTCACTCCCAAGACCTCACCTGAAGCAGACATGGGTGGTTTTGCACAAAGATGTTCCTTTGCAAAGTGTGATCTACAATAGACCTCGCCCCCACCCCAAACATGCCCATGAAAGAAAGTGGAAACAATCTAAATATCCAGTGTTCTGGAACGGTTTGATCAATTATGATAATTTCACAAAGGAATCCAATGATGCGTATAAACATTATTGTGTGGGTGATGCGTCTGCCCTGACACCTTTTATTTAGGGTCAGGTTATACTAATGATGGTGGAAAGCATATCCTGCCCATAGATTCGTAACACTAGGTGTGTGCATGGATGGTACACTAAGGACTGAAGTTATTGTGCTGGGCTGGGGTTTAAAAAGTCCTCCTTTACTGTCGACGTTCTTTCAGCATAACCCAGAAAAGAGAAGCATGTGGCCCTGTGTTGGGCCTTCATTCTATACCCGAGCAGTCACAGTGTGGGGGAGGGGGAGAGGCGGGCACTGAGCCAACTGCTTCCTTCTTCCAGGCACTGCCCTATGTAGCCCTCCTCATAGCCATGTTGTTCTTCATCTACGCGGTGATTGGCATGCAGGTAAGCACTAGCCACTTTCCCCCTGTGTCCCCTTTGCTGGGTAGCCCCAGATCTGTGGCAAGATGTGCCTTGGCCAGGGGGAATGGAAAGCCAGGGTCCTGATTTTGCAGGCAAGTGCTTGTGCGGGGGACAGCCAGGCTCAGAAGAGCAGGGAGAGGTTGGGACATGCCAGGGAAGCCTGGGGGTAGTGGTACTCCTCACCCCCAATCTGAGTCTTGGGAAACTCAACTGATGGAGAAAACCCACAGTTGGTTTCAGCAACAGGAAATAGCACACTGAGAGAAGCTGTAATTGTTTTGGCTTCTGTACTGATGTTACTAAGAAGATATTTAATGATACCAAAGTCTGTTGATGGCCTGGAAAGTTATGTTTTATCACAACCAGCTAGATTCTTACTTAAAACCACCTGCTCCCAGATGCTATGGCAGGGGCTGCACTGGGATCATTATTTGGCATGGGTAGCGCCCTTTTAAAAAAGAAACCAGGCACGAAACCAGGCCCTTCTGTGACTATGGCTGAGGGGCTGCAGGATTCTTCCCTGCCTCTCTGGGGGTGTGGAAAGGGATTGGGGCTTCATTCACTGCTGAGCTGAGCCCTAGCAGGGTAGGCACAGCCTCCAGGAGGAGAAGGAGGTGGAGAGCAGCCTGCTGGACCTCCTGGGGGGTCTCTCGGCTACATGCTCTGCTGTTTTGGATGCTGTCTTTCAGATAAGGGGGGATGCAAGTGTCAAAGAGGTGGGGTGATTCCAAGGCAGAGGGGTGGCTGCACTTCCTTATCTGAAGGCATAGAAAAATTTGCAGTTCGATAGGGATCTATTTGGGAGTTGTGAATGAAGAGTTGACCTACTTGAGCCCTTGTAATTCAGCGTGGGATGCTTTGTGCCCCAAATGGCCTTTTATGACCTGATGTTCTCCTACAAAACAGCTGTCTTGGAGACCTGCAAGCTGCCCTGCACACACCATCACCAGTTTTGCTCAGGAGGCTTTGCCAGGTTCTTCTGAAATGGCCTGCTTTTCTACAAGTCCTGCAGCTAACTTCCCCTTGCCCCTCCAGGAAAGGCCTCTCTCTTCTCTGTGGCTCACTGGCCCCCACGTTTGTCTGTAGCTGGATCTTTTGTCTGTGCACACTCATGTTCTTTTCATTTCCTGGGGCTCCTGGGCTGTGTCCCCTCTGCTCTTTGCAGGCAGTGCTTCCTCTGCCCAGACACCCCACCCTCCTGCTCACCTGACTAGCCTCCACTGTGCCTTCAGTTCTGGGCCTAAATGTCACTCCTCCAGAGGCCTTTCCTGACCCCAGCCCCTGGCTGCAGATCTGTTATGTGCTTCCCTGTCGGGCTGGATCAGGCCAGCTCTTTGCAGGAGGGGCTGTCTGTCTGGTTGCCTGGTAGGAACTCCCTGAGGTGAGGATGCTCCTGACTTCGGCACTGGGCTCCCAGCAGTTAGCACGGTGCCCACCCCATGTTTGCTGAGTGAATGAAGTGCCAAGCACTGTGAGAGAGCCCTACTAGGTGTTGATCAGTCCTGTGTTCGAAATTCACATGTGGAATAGGTTTCGTGGAGAGTTTTGCTTTTTTTTTTTTAAACAAAATCTTTATTTCCCTAATAATTTCTCCACCCAGATGTTTGGGAAGGTTGCTATGAGAGATAACAACCAGATCAACAGGAACAACAATTTCCAGACCTTTCCCCAGGCGGTGCTGCTGCTCTTCAGGTGACTGCGTCCCACGAGGGCACATCTCTCCCTGGCTCTGGGCTCCAGAGTGACCCAGGACACATGCCCTGTTACAGCAGTGTGGCCCCTCCTGGCTGATGGTGGTGGCTTGTTCTATTTGTTTTGTATTCTTGAACAAAGACCTTAGCATTTCAGTCAGAGGAATTTCGCTGGATTGTGGAAACTGCTATGGTCATTCAGACTGTGGCCAGCTTAAGGGTTATCCCTTTGGAAGCTAGTAGGTCATCAAAGGGTTATCCCTTTGGAAGCTACTAAGGCCACCAGGAAAATGGTAGGATACATACTTATGCATGGGAGCATGCACTTGAACACACCCAGGAACGTGGAAATATAGCAAGAACAGAAAGGGCCTTTGCACAGCCAACAGGGAACATCCAAGATGCACAGTTTCAGATTTTATAGGATTGTTTTTAACCCCAGTTAACTAGCTTTGTAAACAAGGTGCCTTGAAGTGAGAGAACTTTCTAGAAATTATACAGGTAATTTCTAACGATTCTCTTGATTGAATAGCGAGTCACTTAGAATTTGGTAGTTTTCAGTTCTTTGCTTTCAACAAAATTGAATGGGGATCTAATCAAGTTGTCAGGTGTTAGGTCATTAGAAATAGTAATTATTTTAAGATTGTAACATGAACATTTAAAGAAGAGAAGACACAAAAACATCCATTTATACAGAAAGAATTGATGTGCTTATATCAAATGATTGTTTTAAATCAAAGGGAGCTATAGCAGGGCCTCCACTCAGAGAAGTTGCATTTGAAAATAAGTAGGAATTTCAATTTAGGAATTTTCACTCATTCGAACTGGCTTTTCCCCCAAATCATTTAGGTTTTGCTCTAATTTCAAATTTTGTTTAAAAAAAATATTCTTAAAAGTGTGAAGGTCTAAGCTTCAAATCGCTCCTTCGTCTACTAAAGCCCTTCTTTTTAATCTCAACAAGGTGTGCCACGGGTGAAGCCTGGCAGGAGATCATGCTGGCCTGCCTCCCGGGGAAGCTCTGTGACCCCGAGTCGGACTATAACCCCGGGGAGGAGTACACGTGTGGGAGCAACTTCGCCATTGTTTATTTCATCAGTTTTTACATGCTCTGCGCGTTTCTGGTGGGTGATCACGACAGCTCTCTTTCTCAACTGACAGATGCTTGTGTGGCATTTGGGATTCAGACCACGGATGTTGCCCCCTCGAATGACTGTGGGGTATTGTATGTTGATGAGCACTCTAGACTTCATTTGGCGGTTGGGGGTTTTTCTTCAACAGGTGTGTGTTACAGGCAGGCTTGTGCACCTTCGTTGTGAGCAGGGGTTTGAGGCTCCCTAACAGGCTTGGGACAGTCACCACCCCAGCTTCTTAGGGCTGCTGGTGTCTTTATTGAAGTTCCAAAGCCACCGCACATAGTGACTCAACAGTGTGAGGTATTTGGTGGCCACAGAATTATAAAACTGCAGTGTGCGTCGACAAGGCCAGATGACACAGCCCCCTGCTTTCCCCTGGGACTATACCAAAGCCATTGTGGAAAGCTGGAAGCCTGCCTTTTTCTTCAACATTCTCCAGAAAGGAAGTTTTTATGGCCTCAGAGAAGTGGGTTCCAAATGTTTCACGACTCTTATAATTAATTAGGAGGCCCTTACTAGGGTCTAAGCCCATCCATTCCACTAAAGATGAAGCAGCTTTGCTCTGATGTGCTTTTTCAGATCATTAACCTGTTTGTGGCTGTCATCATGGACAACTTTGATTATCTGACCCGGGACTGGTCTATTCTGGGGCCTCACCATTTAGATGAATTCAAAAGAATATGGTCGGAGTATGACCCTGAGGCGAAGTAAGTTGGAAAGGCTTCCATGTGACTTGTGTGGGCTGTTTCTGGAGTGTTGGCTGTGATTTTTGTAGAAGGTGGGATGGAGTGAAAGCTCAGGCCAGCCAGTGCTTCCCTGGACCTCATGCTGTTCTTTGTCTCCAGAGGAAGGATAAAACACCTCGATGTGGTCACTCTGCTCCGCCGCATCCAGCCTCCCCTGGGGTTTGGAAAATTATGCCCACACAGAGTAGCCTGTAAGGTAAGTGTCCTGTTGGTGTGTCTGGTGGTCTCTCTGCAGGGACTCTCTGCTTCATTCAACACACACTAAGTGACATTCTGCCGAGCCTTCCGTCAGGTGCACTGGGGTTGCAGAGATGAATCATACGTGGTTTCTGTCCTGAGGAGCTATCAGATTTGTAACTCTTAGGATACCCTGTCAGCCAAAAGTAAGAATAGGAAGGGGATTGTGTCATTTGTCACTGGGTGGGTGGAGGGGAAGGTGACATTTGTGTCAGGTCCAGAAGGACAGAAGCTGGAGGGCATTGCAGAAAGGGAACACAGCTCAGATGCGGAGGTCGGAGAATGGCCATCATGTTGGCACATGGGGAGTCACTGGTGTCGCTGGAGCGTAAGGGAAAGTGGCAGAGGACTATGGGCACAAGCTGAGTGCAACTCCAAGGAGCCCTCTGTGCCAGGCTGAGTCCCACAAAAGAAGCATCAGTAGAGTTTCATGGTGGGAAGTTGCCCCTTGGCAATGGGGGAGTAAACAGGAGACCACCCAGAGAGCTGTTGGAGTCACCCGGAGTGAGGGCAGTGGAGGTGGGGACAGAGGAGGGCAGGGCTGGAAGGTCTACTTAGGAAGTAGGATGGAGAAGACGTGGTGCCCTGGCTATTTCCTCGCTTGAGTGACCGTGGACATGGTGGCACACCCCTCTGCCACCAGAGTGCCTGTCCCCATGAGCCATACATCAGCAGTGGCCTCTTGGGGTTTGGTCCAGATCTCTCATTCCACCCCCCGCCACTTCTGTAGTTTTCACCCCAGACCATGCTCTCTGTGAGCTCCAGCTGAGATTTGTTCTTCCGTAGAGCTCTCAGGGAATCACCTTGAGTTAACGTAGCAACAGAAAATAATTCCCCTTTCTGAAGGAGACAAGCAAGATTTGCTTACTGCAACTGCCTCTAGAAATCCAGCCAGCCACATGACAGCTGGTCACCTCTCCCCCTGGGTCCGAGACAATTCTGGGTTCAGGGGTTTTACCCAGTGTTGCTGGGCCAGCTCTAGACAGAACCCAAAGTAACAGAGTGGAGTCTATAACGTATTGCAGAGAAATTTCAAAGAAATCTTTGGAGACAAACTCATTGTTCTCCGCCCTGAAAGTCCGGAAAACCCTATTGGCAGGTCCTTGGGTCTTTGCCCACATTGTTGCTTCTCTGTAGCCTGGACTCTGGATGAAGGTACAAAGAATAAGCCACAGAAGTGGACTTTTTTCATAAATTTCTTTTCTGCTTTCCAAGAACAAGATGGGTTCCAGCTTATGGCTGTTGTTTTGTGTTTACATCTCCAGACCCTTTTATATAAAGGATCTAAGTATCCTTGAGGCACAACGTGGTCCATTTTGCTGATTCAGGAACTTGCCAGAGAAAGTGAAGGGACATGCAGGCTCTCCTGGCTACCTGTGCTGGGTTTGGAGACAGGCATGGTTGGTAATAGGACTAGAAATTTAGGTCAGATGAGTCATGCAAACATGAGATTCCAGTCCCTTAATAGGGAAGAGAAAAAGCATTAAAAATCTCTTAGGACACTTTGCCAGCCCAAAATAAGAAATTTGGAACCATTAACAATTACAAATACCACTTACTTAGCTCTGATCACATGCCAGGCATCCCCTGAAATTTTAGCATCCATGATCTGCCTTAATCCCAGCTGGGTGTGCCATCTGTATGGGAGGTAACCAGGGCCCAGAGAGGGTGTCACTCCCTCAAACCCCCTCCTCAGCTCCCAGTGCTAGTGTTCGAGGGACCAGAAGGGAGAAGAGAAGCGGGAAGTGGGGGTCCTGCTCTGGAAGACCAGACAGAGCAACCGTGTGGACTTAAAGGGGGTCCCACTGCAAGCATGACGGTCCCACCAGGGTAGGGTTCCCTAAAGGACACTCCCTATGTTAGGAGTAGTGAAGACCCAAGCCCCAGTCCCTGTGCCTGGCTTGTCATACCTGGTGTATTGTCTCACCCCTACGACAGCTTTAAGGATGTGCCCAGAAGGGAGGCCTGACCCTGACATGTGGTGAGGGACAGAAGAGCACTTGAACAGTCAGGTCTTAAACATTTGACGTTAAAAACAAGCAAAGCACACCATCCGCGTGCCAGCATGTGTGTTTCACGACTAAAGCCTTGATCTGTGTCAGCTCCAAGTACCCCCAGGTGCTAGGTGCTCCCTAAGGAGTTGTGGAATTGAACTGTTGACTAGGAGGAGGCAAGGGATAAACAGAGAATCAACACCGAGAAGTAACATGGCCGTAATCCATCATTTGCCTTCTATTGAGAAACTTTTCTGTTTACAGAGACTAGTGGCCATGAACATGCCTCTCAACAGTGATGGGACGGTCATGTTTAATGCAACCCTGTTTGCTTTGGTTCGAACGGCTCTTAAAATCAAGACGGAAGGTGAGCATCCCTGGGACAGGATGATGGATGCCATATCCCACCTTGCGTTCTCCCATCTGGGCCTTTTCTTGTCGAAGGGGAGGCCGTAGGGAAGGGGCAGTGAGTGCTGGGCCAGCTGGCTGTCCCTGCCTGCCTTTATGCTTCATTTTGTCCCAGAAAGTTTTGCGGTGACCCCTGCCACTGCTTGCTTACGGAGCAGGAGAGATTAGGCGGGGGGAGGGGGGCTGGGGCAGAGACAGGACCATCACAAGTGCATTCACTCTAGCTGTCCCTTTCTACTGTGTGACCTTCAGAGAGGGATTTCACAGTGCTGAGCTGTAGCTTCTTCCTCTGTTGAAAAGGAATAAGTACGCCTCCATCCGGAGGAGTCCCGGTGGAGTCCCGAGGCTGAGATGAGAGGATGTCTGCAGGAGCCCCTCTGCCAGGCGGGCACAAAGCTGGCACTTAGGGACTATTAGCAGCTGCATCTTCCCCGCTGATGTCAAACACTCAGCCCTGGAGGGTGGCCGCTGGGGTTGGCTCAATAATGACATGAGAGTGGGACAGAAAGCAGATTGCAGCAGGTTGAGGAGTGACAGGAGGTGGGAAAGTGGAGGCCGTGAAGGAGCCAACTCTTGGCACACTCCGTGGATGAGAGGGAAGAGGGGCCGGCAGGGCACAGCTGCGGTCTGCAGACGGCTGTCTGCCAGTAGCCCCGGAGCTCTAGGTGAACCTCTGCTCAAAGCCAGTCTCTCCAAGCTCCCAGTACCCCTGGCAGTGTGCTCACCCGTCCCTGGCCCAGCCAGCGGGCCTGGGCAGGGCAGAAGGCAGGGTGGTCTTGGGGACTGACAGCTTAGCTGAGGAGACAGGCTTCAGCCCATATAATAAAAGACCAGGCTTTTGTGGTGCTGATGAGTACATGCAGTAGGAATTGAGAGAATTTCTCATTTGGGTGAAATGGAGGCAGTGTTTGGAACAGGCAGTGGAGGAATAGAAGGCATTCTAGCTGGGGGCAGTGGGAAGGGGTGCGTCTTGGCTGTGGAAGGGTAGGATGAGATCAGGCTGCATAGGCCTGGAATTCCAGAATAAAACACGGTTCCTACCGTGGGGTGACTACCCAGTGGAAGGCTCGCCCACTATTTGCCTGCTACCCCTCCACTGGAGAGCCCGGGGGGAGGGGAGCCCCGTCCTGTCTGAGGTCTCTGCTGCAGGCCAGCTGGGAGGGAAGCAGCCCTGTGGGAACAGACAGGAGAGCTGGCTAAGAGAAGCAAGGCTCTTTATAGATTTTGGATACTAGCTCTTTATCTGATATGTCATTTGCAGATATCTTCTCCCATTCTGTCGGTTGTCTTTCAGTTTTGTTGACTGTTTCCTTTACTGTGCAAAAGCTTTGTATCTTGATGAAGTCCCAATAGTTCATTTTTGCCCCACCCCCCCAAAAAAGAGAGAGAAGCAAGGCTCATTTTCCCCTCTTGCTTTCTGAATTTAGGGAACCTGGAACAAGCTAATGAAGAACTCCGAGCTGTGATCAAGAAAATCTGGAAGAAAACTAGCATGAAACTGCTTGACCAAGTTGTCCCTCCAGCTGGTGGTCAGTGCAATCTATTTCCTAAGTGGTTCTTGGCTAATGCATTGGTTTCAGCGCAAGGATCTCCAGCAAGCCCCAGAGAGGGTTTGCAGAATGCTTTACGTATCCGCTAGAGCATTCGGGCCCACAGCTAAAGAAGGCTCTTCGGCCTTTTGGTGTAATTATTTGGGGTAACAGGAGGACCATTCCAGACAAAGGAGAGGATTCAGTGGGAAGGAGACCCAAGACCCAGATGGCTGGGGCAGGGGTTTTCTGGTTGGTGGAAGAATTACCATGGGAGAACGAGCTTACTGTCTCAAACCAAAGAGCATGTATTTTTTCAACCAAAATGAAATATTTAAAGTTAGTTTCCATTTATCCTTCAACATGTTGTTGAAAACGTCTCAGAAAAAATAGATAGCTTTCAGAAAATGGCATTTTTGAAATGTTCTTCTCAGGACTGAGTTTACCATCATAATTACCGAAAATGTCCCTTTAACTGGAGTTTAGAGTCAGAACTAACAGGCATGCTTATTTCCTTTTGTTATTTGTCATAAAATAACGGACTAAACTTGTTCAGATGTATATATATATATGACGCACATATATATAATATATATACCGTTTTTCCATTTTTGTTTAAGTACACTGGACTTAGACGTTGAGGTGGTTGTTTCGTGACTATTTTATTTTCACGTTTTAAAGGTGCAGGATCCGTTCACTCCGTGCCACAACCCCAGTATTCTAGCCGCCCCTAGCCCCGGGCACACTGTGAGCATTCGGTGTGTTTTGTAACCAACCACACTTTTCTAGCATCACCGCTCCTGCAACTTTCGAGATTGGTCGGGCTCAGGGCTGGAAGCCAACTCCGGGACCCGGGGCCAGGACCATGGCCAAGGCCTCTCCCTCTGAGAAGGTGACAGTCTCTGGCTCTTGGGAGGCAGAGAAAGAGAGAGAGAGAACGAGCGAGCAGCATGGCGCCTAGGTCTGCTCCTCCGCATGAAGCCAGAGCAGTGTGAGCTTTTGTCGCTGGAGGGAGCCACCCCTAGCTGGCACAGCCACCTGCTCAAAGCCGGGGGAGACGGTCCCAAAGAAATGATAAAGGGAAAGCACGCACGCACACACACAACCCCCCCCCCCCCGCCCCTCCGCCCAAAACCAAAGAACAGAAAACCATCAGCTCCCACCTGGAGCACCCAGGCCCCCCACAGGAGAACTGATGCTGCACATTTAAAACAACTCTTCAGTTTCATTCTTTTCCTTGCAGCTGCGCACCCCAGTGCTCGCATGGCTTAGAGAAATTGCTTTTTAAGATTGTTGTAACAATGTGCTTGAGCTTTTTCTGCAGCCTCCATTCCTTTCAAGTCTCAGTCTTTCAGAATATTCTGAAGCAATTCTGTTTTAGGGTGGTGGCATGGAATCAGGGTTATCTCTTGGCAGCCGTATTCCCCTACACTGTTTCTCAAATCCAGATGCATGCTTCAGAATAGCGGCTGCGCACGTCCCGGTAAACCCTGCCCCTCTCCACCTCCCCCCAGGGCCGGCCCACCCTGCCCCAGCACCCCTCTGCTGACTGGCCACCTTCTTCACAAACCAGTCTCACTCCAACATCTTGGGGAGCATAGTCGCATTACTGTGAAGCTTTCTTTCTTTTAATTAGACCAGGAAAAAAAGGTCCAGAGTTTGGCTCACCATGCTAGTGCCCTCAAAACAGATCAAATTTTAGCTCTGCTAGACTGCTAGTAAAAGCCAAATATCCTTCCGCTTTCTTGGCCTGATAGCTGGGCCTGGCCTTTTCTCTGTATTTCTCAGAAAAGATTGGGGTTTAGGATGACAGGTGTTTGTCTATTCCAAAATGGCAGCAGAAGCACAGTGAAACCCGGGAAGGCGGCAGGCCTTAGGGGGTGGCTTGCTGCACTGTTTGAGTGTGTCTTTAGGATGGTGCTCCTCCAGGCCGAACCCCAAGTGCTACTGCGCTGGAGAGGTTCGTGGCAGGCAGGGACTCTCAGGCATCTGCGAACACACACTGTAGGAGGTGCATGCGGGGCAGGATTTTACTGCCTGCATTCCACCAGTTCTCTCTGTTGCTTCTTTTCTCTTCCAGTAGACCATTGGTTCCCAGCCTCACCCACATTGTGGCACACTTGGAAAATGGGCCTCTGGGCCAGCAGATGGCTAGCTCCCAGGGCCGAGAGGCTCAGTGTCCTGCAGGCCATACCCTGGCCAGAGCGGCAGATTCCACCAGGCCTGCTGCTCCCCGTGTCTGGGACTGGCCCATGTGGGGCATCAGGGAGCCCCTCACAGGCCTGGTGGCAGTGGGGCAGGGGCCCATCTCGGGAGGCTTTGTAGCTCAGGGTGGTGTGCGGTACCCGCCCCCCGCCCGCCCAGGTCATCACAAGCTTCTGAGAAGGAGGCGACCCCAGGAGCCAGCCCCAGAGGAGCAGTGGGGAACTGTCCTTCTGCACCGTGGCAGTGCAGGGGCCTGTGGCCTCGGGCATAGTCTGCCTATCCTCTCCATCACCTGTGCTCAGTGGTCCCCTTGCCCATCTCCGAATCTTGCTCATGTCCTCTGCTCTACTCTTCAGTCCTCTGCCATGTCATGGCTCTTCCCCCTTTCTGTAGGAGTCCCCTATTCTCCCAGGGGCTGTCCTTCCTTTGGGCCTCCACTCCTTGACCTGGATCTTTGGCTCCTTTGCCCTGAAGAGCTCAAAAACCTGACCCCATCTCTTTCTCTCCAGGCCTGAGCCCAGACAGCCTCACTGCAACCATTCCTTCTGTCCCTTCCTTTTCTAACCAACTCTAGCTTTGATTTTTCCTGTTCTTGAGAGCTTGTCCTCAGCCCAGCCTCAATTAGCTTAGCATCTCAGTGGAGAACACCAAGTGGTGGTCTGCCTCCGCTCTGGAGTGGCCACTCAGGCAGAACCACAGTCAGCCCTCTGCACTGAGCACCCTGCTTCCCCCAGTTCTGGGCCAAAGAGAGCCAAGACCCTCCTGCAGGAGCCTCCTGGGCCCCTCCAGGCCAGCACCATCTGGGCTGAAGGGAGAAAAGGATCAGGCCTGCATTTACGGGAAACATCCCAGTGTGGAATGAGGTGGGCCTTCTGTGAACCTAGTGTTTTTTTCTGGGAGCCCACAGAGAAGACTTGATACCCTGGACTGCAGGGGATAGCTGTGGCACAGAAGGCAGAGGCCCCCTAGATCCCCCAGGGTTGTCCACTGTGAGCCCACCTCCCGCATGCAGCTCAGTAGAGAGACTTGTACTCTGGGGGAGGCAGCCCCAAAGAAGTAGGTGGTGTGTGGCCAGAGCTGGGCAGTCCCTGAGTGGGCGGTGTGGAGGAAGAGGAGACCCACGTTTGGGAGGCCTACTGCCCTGGGCTCACATCCCAACTCGACCGGCCAGGGCAGGTCATTCAACCCCGCTGCATCTGTTGAGGGGAAAGCCATCCCACCATCTCAGAGCTGTTTGTGAAGAGGCCATGACACCCACATGGAGTTCCTCTGGGAACATGGATGCCCAAGAATAGAGGTAGCTAGAAGGTATATACCAGATGTACCCTGGGCAAAATTAGGAGCAGCTTGAGAGCAAAGTAGGAATGAAGTGTTGAGACCTAAATGGTCTGTCCACCTCTCACCTCCTTGCCCATGGGCAGTGCATCATTAGGCTATTTGGACCAGCCTGAGACAGATGCGGGACATAGTTTCACATGCTACCCAAAGCCTTCGTCCCTTTGGTGGCCCCGACACCACTTCAGACTTCTTGGCTGGGGTTCGTGAGGAACACAATGCTCTTCTTGAGGCCAGCTGCCCCAAGGCATCTTCTTACTCAGTAACACCGAGTGGTTCCTGACAGGGAAGTTTGGAGAGGTGCGTACAGCAGCCCAGCAGTATCCAGATGGGGACGCTTCCCACATGTCATGTTCCACCATCCATTTCAATGGATGGCACCATCAGCAGGCTGCTGGCTCACTGTCATCCAGCCCAGGCACTTCGGACCACCCTAGCCTGGGGCCGGGTGCTTCCAGGCCTCCTCTCGGATCATGCTCACAGCACCTCTAAGAGGTGTGGCCCCATTTATAGATGAGAACACAAGTCCCTTGCCCCAGATCAGCATGCAGCTCTTGCAGGTGCAGCCTGGGTACAAGCTCAGCTGTCCCAAAGCCTGAGGGCCAGCAGCCCTTTCTTCTCCCAGCCTCTACAACTTCTGGGGCCCTAAGCTTCTTGCCCAGGGGCCACTGCAGATCTGGGGGCGAGCACCCCAGGGAGAGCAGGTCTGGTGGAGGCCCCTGGGCAAACACATCGTGGTTTACCATGAGACAGCCAGAGCCTCTATTCTGCCTCATGCATCACCTTTAAAATGCTCAGCGGAGTTCCAGTGCCCCAGCGGTACATGCTGGAGTTTTTCCGAACAAAGCAGAAATAAGCTCAACTTCGAGGTTAGTTGGAGCTGTCGCTTGCAGTGCCAAAAATAAGCAGTTCTGGATTACAAACAGAGAAATGGCATATGGAGGCTATTGGAACAGAATCACGGGGGCACGTGAAAATCTGGGTTTGCAGCCACTTTCCTGAACCTTCCTCCTCTTCCGAGCTTGTCTGTCACTTTCTGAGGTCTCTGTCTTTATCTCAAAGCATCAGGATTTGGATGGTTAATTGCCTTGGTGTTCATGGTAATTACACATGCAAATCTCTATGCACAGGGGTGAAAATAGGACCCAGGAAGTCTTTTTTTGTTTCATAATTTTTATTTTCAGTAAATAACCAAGACAGCACTCCATAGTGTTACTAATACGCTGCTCTAATAAACTCATGACAAACATACCGTTTTCTGCAATTTTGAGTATCAGTTCATGGGACTGACTCTAATTTTGAGCCTTAACTGCTTTGCAAAACCTTGCTTTTTGCTAGATTTAGTCTCCCGGGTCCTCAGCCCAGAGCTCAATGCCCTGGGCGCTGTCCCGCCCCGCCCCAGCCCTGGCCCCCAGCGAGAGTTGAGGCTCCTGGTGCAAATGTGCTGATTCGGGAGAGCTCTGTCTGGTCTCTCCGTTTAGATGATGAGGTAACCGTGGGGAAGTTCTATGCCACTTTCCTGATACAGGACTACTTTAGGAAATTCAAGAAACGGAAAGAACAAGGCCTGGTGGGAAAATACCCTGCGAAGAACACCACCATTGCCCTACAGGTGAATTGTCCTTTTGTTTTCTTCTCTTTTCACTAACCATTTTACAAGCTTATTTGAAATACTAGAGAGCTGGCTATTCATGGTTGAGCGGTGCCACAAGGATTTTGTTTAAACTGAGATACCGCACACCCCCCAAAATGCGGACTAGCCATTTCTGGGCTATGAGGTAAGTGCCCCCCTCTCCTTGCTTTGTCTGTTGTGCCCGCACCTGCCATGGCCCGGGTGGCAGGGCCCCCAGGACAGCGGCGGAGGTACAGCCCTGGCAGGCCCCGGGGGGCCAGCGCTGGCCTTGTACCCTGTCTCCTCCCGGCTTCTCCAAAGACAGGGTCCTTAGGCAGGCACCCACCTCCCCCCAGTCCCGGGCTCGGGCCCTAGCTGCCCAGGAAACAGCTTTCCATCTGAACGCAAGTGCTTTGTTTTGTTTCTGTTTGTTTCTTACCCCACTGCTTGTTGGTTTTCGGTCCATTTCAGTAACATCCATCACCTCCTGGTGTGTGTGTGCGTGCAGATGGGTGTGTGTGTGCGCGCGTGTGTCACAGTGTGTCTGTCTCTGTGTATGTTTCCTGACAGCCGTGAGGCTTGCTGTGCAAACGCTGCTCTGTGCCCAGGCCAGCCTCTGGGCCCTCCGCCTGTGCCAGCCCTGGCTTGCCCCAGGCTCCTGGAGTGTGGGCGCGGCTTACAGGAACCTCTGGTTCCAGCCAGGGTCCATGCATTCAAGGATGTAGAACTCTAGGTAAGCCCAGATCTCTGGCACGGGAAGCAGATGTGTGGAGGAAGGGGGTCACTGTGAAGCTTGCAGGAGGAGGGGCCACGAAGGGAAGTTTGTGAGCGAGCACTGGCAACAGAGAAAGCAGGGTGAAGAGGGAATGAGATGTTAAGAACCGGCAAAAGGGAACTACAGAGGTTGGCAAGCTGCAGAAACACCTGTCCAAACTAACCAAAGCCCCATCGTCTCTGCTACCCACGTGCCTGAAGTCCATCACGAGTAAGATAGAGTTTTTTTCCCTGTTCATTTGTTCACTTTAAAATGACTTTTATGTCCCTGTTATCATCACGAGTCTTACATTGGGCCATGTAGGGTATTAGCAGAGTTCAGTGTGGAATAGTCCTTCACTTTTTTCTGGAGAGAAACGCCCAGTGTTGTTTTGTGTTCCAAGCAATGGTGCAGTGAAGGGAGGGCTTATCTGTGAGCTTGCTGCGAGAGAGGACATAAACGTGAATGGCCATGAGTGAGGGCAAGTGGGTGCATATGCAGATGGTGGGTAGTAGATGTCCTTTATGAGGACACCTCTGCTCTGCCCAGACAGCTGCAGAGCCAGGGGAAGCAAGGATGCTCAGTCCAGCTGAAGACGATTTCTGATCTTTATTTCTCTGATCACCTGTCCTAAAGGTGGCTCAGTGAACCACAGGCTCAGTCCAGTAGCCCATTGCTGTCTCAGGTTGTGGAATTTGTGAGTAAAACTTTCCCCTCTGGCCCCTCCAGTCTGCAAAAGGGAAAGCCCTCCTCCCGACCACCACTCACAAGTAGCCTTAGAAAGATGAAAGCAAACTGAAAAGATGTGTTTGCAAGTCTGAACAGGTCTGTGGTCCATAGATTCTTGGGGGCAGCGTGGCCAAGTTGGGTGCAAGGAGAAGGGGTGATGAATGCACTTCTGAAGGCGCTTCCCTAAAGCGGTCCTGGGCCTGGAGGACTAGACTGGCCGGATTTGGGAGTGTCACGGTCCCCTCCCCCTGCAGGGAACTGCCTGCTATTCTGGGATTCTAGGTGGTGGGGTCCATAGCACTTGATGACTTTTCTTGAGGGGGAAACATACTCTCTCATGGATGGCTATGTCATAACTTCCAGTAACCAAGTTAGCTCTGTGTTAGGAGACCCTTCTGTTTTCTGGGGAAGGCGTGCATGATGACCGCATGAGTAGAGTTCTCCCTTCCCTGAATTCCCAAGACTTCCCAGTCAGATGGCTTCAGTTCCTGCTCTAGTGGCTAGATACAGTGTTTTGATGTTTTAAAACCTGAAAAACAACACATGGCTAAATAATTATCACATTTCATGGATGGGCTTCCCCGAGTCTTTTTAAGTTGCAGTTTCAAATGGTGCTAAAGCTACATTTATAAGTCATGGGGTAAAAGACCAACACATTGCATTACAATAATGTTTTTCTCCTAAACATTTTTCATTTTGTTGTTTGTAGAAAGAGTTTCATTTCCTTGGTGAAATTAAACATTTCCTGTTAGATGATGATACCAGTGCATCTTTACCTGGTTCTGTTGGGAGTTGAGGCTATGACTATAATTTATGTTGAGTACACAGCCTAGAAGATTAAGTTGTGTTCATAATCTTGACTGATAAATTCTGAAAGTGTATTGGATTCTGAAGCAAACATTAAAAATAGAAAATTCTGGTCTCCTTGAAGGATAATTCTAATTACATTTTTGGCCTCCTCTGTTCTAGAAGTGGCTTTAAATGTGATTTGTCACTCTACATTTAATGAGCATGAGGAGGCGCTTCCTTTCTGTGTGATGAAATACTCTGTGATGACACAGCAGTTAGGGACATGGGGTCGAATGGCAGTGGCACCCACAGTGTCACTAGGACAAGTACAAGGACGCGCAAGGAAGCCCCCAGATGTGGGCACAGCCTGCTGAGAAGTGGGATGAGTGGCTTCCTCCCACGCCGGGTGTGCCACGTGGCTGACAGACGGCTTGCCCATGGGAGGTCGAGTGTGAGCGCAGAAGTACAACGTAGGCATGTGCGTGCTTGTGCTGCGTAGAGTGCAGTCTGTCTGAGCGGGATCAGAACAGGTCCACGTTCTCTGCTCCCCGTGGAATGGTTCTCAAGGGCACACAGATGCACTGGGGTTTCCAGCCTTGGGGGCTCCATCTGGTCTCCCTCTCTTCAGACCCACTGCGGTGTCCCCTTCTACATGAAGGGGATCCTTGTGTCGGGAGGAGCTCGGCACCCGGTGTCCTCTGGCCTCTGCGGTCTGAATGAGTGTGCAGTTTCCATCTATCCATCCATCTTCATTAAAGCCAGCCTTCTCTCCAACCTTCTCCAGAGGGTCGGAGAGAAGCTGCATCAGGCTGCCTTTTTGTTTTCCTCACCACCCGCCCCCCTCCCCATGTGCCATATCCACTTCAGTTTGACTCCACATTTGCTCTCCCCTCCATTACTGCTACATTGAGTGACCTGCAAGTTTCTGCCAAGAGCAAGTCAATAAAGGAACACAGCTCTGCAGCCTTAAAAATGCTCAGTCCCCTTCCCATCAAACAGCAGTGCCCCATCAGACCTTCCAGATGCAAGATGCAGACATGAATTAGTCCAGTGTCTCATGGATAAAGGGGAAAAAAAAAAAAAAGATCCCAAAGTGGGAAAAGTTTTGTTCATTTCTTTCAACATTCAAGGATTCTCTTTATGCCAAAGATACTCTGGTGAAATCCGAGGAGACTCTATCCCCCAGTTGTTCCAGCTGGGAGTCTGATTACCTTTAATGACAGGAAGACTTTAGAGGGATAGTCTTTTTCTCACCTGTTCGGAGGTTGGGTTTAAGGAGGAAACCATTCTTTCCAGCTGGTAAAGAGTTAGGTGGTTAGGTTTTCTGTGAAAGCCTGCACCCCAGCCAACAGTTGGTGATGTAGGTGCTCGAGTGGAAGGGTGGGTGGTATAAAGAATCCAGCGACTCTTAGTCCCGGATGTGCCCTGATGCAGCCACCTCGGGGAGGCCCAGTGCAGGAGAGGAAGACACGCTCCACAGACATTTAATCCGTGGAGTAGCGGACACCTGTTACTTAGTTACCTTAGTTTAAAAAGTAGCAAGATATTTTTCTTTTTTTTTTAAAAAGCATGAGTCCATTTAAAGCCATAAAAAAGGCTTTCTCTTTTCTTTTCTTTTTTAATCTAAGACGAGAACAGATGCTAACAGATGAGATTTCACTGGCTGATTCATTTGTTTCAGATGCTTGAACGGATGCTTTAGAATTTTCTGCCTGAGCTACAGCACCAAGCTCGTTAGTCGGAAGGCGTTTGTGGCTAAGGCCTTGAAAGGGAAAAGTCTCAAGTGGGCTTATTTCTACTGAAACAGCATTTCGGGAGAAATGCAGGAAAAAGCAAACCCAAGGCCCCAGGGAGACCCCTTCCAAGCAAAGCACTCCTCCAGAAGGCGGAAGCAGGGTGTGGCTCATCTGCAGAGCCATGGCCTCCTGTCGCGGACGCTGCTCCCGGTGGTTCTTTTTCATGGAAGGGAACGTGCAAAAGGCTTAACAGTTTTCCCTTCCAAGCAGAGACTCAGAGAAAGGGAAAGAGAGAGAGAGAGCAAAGGAGGGGGGCAGCCGCCCCACAGAGAAATGAAATGAACACAACTTCCTGACGCTGGCCAGTAAAAAAATAGCATAATAAAAAGATGAAGCAGACCTGCCTAAGGTGGGCAGCTGACTTTGTTCCAAAGTCCTGCATCCCTAGTTTGCCCGAACTCCCAAAGACTGGCAGGCCCCTCGGCACTGAGCTGACAGAGTTTCTTTTATATGCCAGTCCGCCATGACCTCCTGACCCTCCAGCCCCCACTCTCTGCAGTGACCCAGTTGAGAATGCAGTGGGAAGTGGGCAGGCCAGGAAGCTCAGACACCATTTAAACTAACACATACACCTGCATGCCAAAACCAGTCCAGGTAACACCTCAGGTTCCATCTTAACGTGTCCACGGGAAATACCACCACACCCAAACCTCATCCAACATTGTCCGTCTTTAATTCGTGCTCAAAGCCAGTCTGGGGATGCCTCTTTGGAAGCAGTGTGGTCTAGTTTCAAGGACACTGGGAGTCAGGGAACCTGGGTTCTAGTCTCAGCTCCAGCGTTCACTTGCTGCGTGACCTTGGGCAAGACACTTAACCTCTCTGTGCCTCAGTTTCCCCCATCTGTAAAATGGGGGCAATAATGTCGACCTACCTCACAGGGCTGTTGTGAGGAATAGCTAAGTGATTGTAAAGCACTTTGAACGTATAATTGC